TGGCCATACTGCTGCCCATACAGCAGGTTGTACGATCCCCTCCACTGTCTCCACACTGTTCACGGCGCTCACCATCTCCGTGTGGGTTAGTGGTGCTGGGGACGGAGGTGCCGGGTACTGGTGGCCCTGGTGTTGTCCCTGGTGGTGCCCCTGGTGGCCCTGGTCCATGTTTGAGGCCGACTCGGCGTGAGCGCGCTTGTGCTTGTTGAACGCCTGGCGGACTGGAGTCTTGAAGTCGCACATGTCACAACGATACATTTCACCTAGGGTGGTGAAACGACAGGAGAAGTTTACTGGTGCGCTTGCATGAAAAATCTGCACTAATTCAATAAACAGGGTGTTCACACTCTGTCGATTATGCGTTTCATGCCCAACGGTAGCCTGGTGTCCAAACCTATTCTAGAGTCTCTTTTGTCCTCTCCGCAAATAGAGGACAAAAGAGACTTGGCAGCTAAATTAGCTTTGGACTTCAGGCTAGGATAGTTAAAGAGACATGGCTGGTTTCAACTCTGTATCAACTATAATGTATAAAATATTTTTTTAAAGGGAACTGCATTTCTTACCAGTATGTTTTTTCCTCACATGGATGTCCATACACTGTTTCTGGATACAACTGAGGAAAAGAAGAAAGTAACATCAGCCTCATGTAAGTCAAATGTAAGATGGAATATTAGAAGGCAGAAGAGCTTGAATCCAATGCACCTAAAAATACGGCTCCGAAGAAAATTCAAATCTGAGTCTGACTATAATCACTCTCTAAAAGCAAGTGCACAAAGACATATATTTTGTCAACTCTAGACTCTAGATCTTTTTTCATGTTGCTCCAGTTTAGCATTATCTTTTTAAATCTACAAATCAAATTGACGTGGCCTGATTAAGGTGACTATATACCTGTAGTCACACCAGTTACACTTATAAGGGTTCTCATCCTTATGTCTCCACCGATGTCGCCTGAGGCAGCTACGGTCCACGGTCGCGTAGTCACAGAACTCACACTTAAACTTCTTGTCTCCTGCAACAATGCACAAGATAGGATCCCATATTGAAACTGGTCACCTTTGTCAAAGGGAGCAACCTTAAGTAGGCATTCAGAGATGGCAGACTTCACCCCCTTAATATTCCCACAGACACAACAGTAGCACTCAGGATGGACATGTATGGCAATGCAGGGCTCAAAATACTGGGTGCATACTGGTTGCCCAGTTGCCCCGGGCAACCAAATTTTACTTGGGGCAACCTATTTTTAAACCTAGGTAGCCCAGTGTGCTACCTGAATTTTAACAATTTCCCCCCCCCCCAAGAAATCATGCCCACTTGGCTTCCACCACTGTATCTTGTGGTGCTTTTTAATTTTAGGTATTAATGGCTATTACTAGTATCAGTTAACTAAAGGCTGTTAGAAATACATGTATTGTGAAAAGCTTATGTTTACGTTAAGGCTTAACGTTATGTAACATTACTTAATTTGAGGAAAGTAGTAACTTATAGGTGGGGGAACCTAAAATTCTGATGGGCAACCTAATTTTTGTGGTAGGTTGCCCCCCTACAACCCACTGGGCAACCTGGTTCAAAAAAGTATTTTGTACACTGACCTTAGGGAATAATGCATAAATTAAGATTACCAAAACTGGCATGTGCTATGTACAAAAGAGATACCTTTGTGAGTCCTCATGTGCAGTTCCAGTCCTGCCTTCCTGCGAGTGGCGAACCCACACACGTCACACATGAACCGCTTCTCATCAGTGTGGACAATCTGGTGCTTCTGCAGAATCTACATACATACAGCAACAGTCATGTCATCATACACTAAATCAACTTGGAAAGGCACAGGATTCTGGTCATGGAAATATAGAATCTTTTTGTATTTTCATCTCTAAGAAAAGTGCTGTAAGTATAGAACTTTAAACACACAGCATACTCTTTCAATTGACATGTGAAACTTCAATACACATTCAGCAAGAAGTGGAAATATGCAGCTTCAAGCTCATTAGAGACCATGGCTACTACAGAGGCCAACCATACCATAATATTGAGCAACCATGAGTACCGGGTAGTACAAATCTTGTCAATTTATACCAGTTATTACCTTTTCATCCTTGAATGTCTTGGTGCACTGGCCACACTTCAGCCTGGGTCCTTCTGGCTGGATCCGCTTCCTAACCTGGGGGTGATCACTGTGCATGTCTCTCTTGTGGGCCTGGGGACAAGGTGTTTTTACAGCTAAATACCAATTATCATAACTGTATAACTAGTACTAGTAGCAAGAACATGAAGATTTGGCATGTTCTGCTCTTCTCTAAAATTTTCTAAAAAGCACACCAGCTTCTTCTTCTTCTTATCCGAGTTTTACGTCTATTGATTCCCCGAATCGGGGGTATAGACGTATTATATAGCATTAAAATATTAACGCACAACTGCATTAGTTAAGACAACCTGTCAAATAACAGACCCCTTTGAGTAATAATATCAGGGCTCAAAATCTTTTTTTTTTTTTTTGCATCTGTGATATTTCAAGCCCTGAATGTCTAAAGTCAACATCTCACCTCCTTGTTCCTTTTGTGCTTGAAGCCTTTCCCACAAATCTCGCAGACAAACGGCTTGTCGGCGGTGTGGACAGACATGTGCCTGTTCAGGTCCCCCCTCTTCAGCGAGTTGAAGCCACAGATGACGCAGACGTGGGGACCCTGGATGTTGTGTTCCCGGTACATGTGTCGGAAGATCTTGTTCCACTCGGTCTCGATGTGGTCGCAGTGCAGACACTTGAAGTCCTTCCCCTCCTTCCGGTGACACTTGGTGTGGAGCTGCTGCTCCTCCTCCACTGAGAACCAGGTCAGGCAGGTCGGGCACTGGAAGTGCTTCTGAGAGATGTACTCCTTGGGGGAGCTCTTGCAGGAGCGTTTCTTGTGCTGGAGGAGGTTCCTGCGGTAGCGGAAGGCGCTCGTGCACTGGTCGCACTTGAACGGCCGGGCGTCGGAGTGCATGAGGAGGTGTCGCTCGTGCTCACAGGCCTTAAATCAATGAATAAGTGAATAAATCAATCAATGAATAAATAAATGAAGTTTGTTAACGGTAACTATACTTTGCAGCCTTACTAGAGTGAAGACAGACCAAAGTAGCAATTAGGCATGCCTTAACTTAAGTCTAAAACTTCTCCATCTATCAGGATGTAACAGTTCAACATCTTATGTTCATATTTACTTGCCAATTGGCTACCAGACAGTTCTCTATTCCTTGTACACTGTAGTATTGTAGAGTTATACTTCTACCCTGTGAAGTTCTCCATACCTTCATGCACTTGAAGCCACAGTCCTTGCAGACGTAAGGTGCGGGGACATCATGAGCCCTGAACATGTGTCTGTAGGTCCTCCTCCAGTCTTTACTCCGCTCATCACAGTAGATGCACTTGAAGCCTTCCTCCCCCTCAACGTGGCACTGCATGTGCAGCTTCTGTTCATCCTCCCTGCAGAACTTCAGGCCGCAGATGTTACAGGAGTACCTCATACCTCGCTGCGGGTTCCTCTTCCTCATGTAGTTGGGCCTCTTCTGAGGCTTCCTGGCCTTCCGCTGACGTCTCTCGCTCGGCTCTTCAAAGTCGGCGTAGTCGTCATCTGAGTCGTCATCCCCGTCGCCCGTGTTCTGCACCACGAGTATCCTCCCGATGTCTTTCTGCCAACTCTCCTGCACGTGTCTTTTCTGCTTGGCCTTGCGAGATTTCTTCATGCGTGAGGTTGCTTTGCTAGGTTTGGGCATCTTTGGCTTCGACTCCTTGCTCCGAGCCTGGGTTCTCTTGCTGGCGTGAGGCAAAGAACTACCGGTAGCTTCTCTCTTGCGCGGGGGAATATTCAGGGCACTATCAGACAGGCTTCTCTTTAATGCCGGCGCTGGTTTTTCAACCACCCTTCTGGAGTCGCCATTTTCTGAGGCTGAGTCCTTGAAGAACATGTCACAAGACATTTCCTCTCCAGCACTCTTGCCGACATCATTTTCCGGAAAGCCATTCGACTTCTCACTGCTGTCAAAGTGTGTGTCGTTCAGATGCGAAACAAAATTGTCCACTAAGAAGCTGTTAAACTGGCATGCTTTACACCTATAGAGGCGTAAGAGGAAAGTTTCGGTGTACTCTTCCATTTGCTCATCTTGGAAGACGCCGTGAAGCCGGAAGTACGGCACTGCCAACTCTGCGGGCGTGGCGATGGGCGGGTGCTCCGTCAGCATCTCCATGGTTACGGGCATGGTGTCCATGACAACATGTGCTGAAGCATCAATGTCATTGACATGTGACCTACGGTATGGAATGTACACATAACCACAATTAACATCTTATTCTCAACAATGTATTCATCAGAATCAGATTAATGTAATTTTGCTGACTAAAAATACCATGGCAGTGGTAATGAAAACATTACATCTGTACAAAAATAATTTATTTTAGTACCACCGAACATTTAAAAAAAATGCCACCCAAGATGCATGCCATTGACTGATTGAGGCCTATACAGAAATCCTAAAAGATGAGATTAAACCGGAACTGACGTATCCTTACGTACTGATGCTAGTAACTGTTAGTAAAGGGTGTTCTATCATAGTTTTATCTGGAAAATGTATTGAATCAGCATAATACTGTTACCCTGCATTTGTTGAACCAGGTTAGATATGCAATGGTGGAAAATAAAGCGCATCCATGCCTTGGTCTAAAGGATATAGTTACAAAAGACCCGATGTCTAAATAATGCCGCGGTTGTTGTGGGCTATTTGAGGCTTAATTAGGGCAAGTGTACAAATTTTAGATCCCCCTCAACTGATTTTCTGCGTGCATGCCATACCAATTGAGCCCATACGTATTTCTTGCTCTTTCCGTCGACAAAAAGGCATCTTATCGGTGCACACACCAGTTCTTCCGCGACAGGGGTCCACTATAGTGCCCGGAAAAAAGTGACGAAGGGGTTCCGATGGTTCATGTTTGAGTTTACATTTCTCATAATCTGCTGCAAAATGGGATTAGCTACTAACATGGCTGAAAAGTGTAAGAAGTGGCGTGTTTTGGGTGAAAATTGATTTCGGGCCCGAGACTTACTTCCGGGTGTCCTTCCGCCCTGAGCGCGGTGCTTCGGTTTGACCTAGTTTTGCCTTGTATGCGTTCTGGGGGTGCTGTAGCTATGCCTCGCGCGACGGGCTATTGTGATAATCTCAGTGTTAGGATTTTCTTTATACTTTTCTTAATAATACATAAGGGTTTTCTCTTTCCGACCATATAAGTCATATCGGTGGCAAAAATCTGGGTGATGGGTTTAATTCCACGTGAAAATGGCCAATTTTTGGCATCATTTTTCAGCGAAAAATTCTTTTTCCCCCTAAAATTTGCTAAAATGTGAGAGGTGAAAGAAATTGAAATTCTTTTGTTCTCGTAGCTAGAGGGATATCCTTCATTTGCAAACAGAGTGTTTTGGCTTAAGAGGTTTTTCCTGAAAGAGACGGTCGCTAGAGTTGAGGGTATGCAGAATCGAATTGAGACCCAAAATAAACTGGGGTGTGCCCCCTTATAGTCGCCATGAATGCCGCAAAAAGCCTGCGGTAACAGGCCGCCTGGTAAGGTCGTTAGGGATTCAGGAACGCTTAAATTTTCGCACGAAGCCTGGACGAGATTATAAGGAGTGGGAGGGGCAACAAACAGGCCTAGTTATTTCATCAAATGGACGTGTTTTACCTCGTTCTCCGGGTTGGCAAGTACCTACCGACATTTCCAAAGACCTTAACGTTGCTCACTTGCGCCCCTTTCTTGGTTAACGGGCAGGAGAAGAGGAAGGTTTGGTGATATAAACCCGCCGAAAAGCCAGTCTTCCACCTCCCTCACGTCGCCATTTTGGGGTCACAACAGAGCTCGTTGCATGATGGGTAAAATTAATTTGCGCGGGACATTCCAAAATAGATACGGAGTAAAATGCCAGAAAAGAATATTAGTCTCTACTGCATTTTCATGCTTTTAGTGACTAAATATATGGTGGAAGTCGACTGAATATGGTAACAAAGTGGACCCTCTCTGGACAATAATACCTCCAATCCCCAAGCAACGTTTTCTCTTTTCATTTGAAGGCACTTCGCGCAAACCCCTTTGCAAATGATTCGCTCTCTGTGGCCAATTGCTATTTTCAGTGTTCACCGGCATAGGAATAAAACAAAGGCGTTATACATTGGTAGATAAATGTATCAGGTAGTCTACTTGACGTAAGTGTGTGAGAGATCATGAACCAAGGCCATGAAATACACTGACTAAATGGCCCGCGCGCTCCTAGCGGCAATAGCTGGCAGTGCCGATTCCTTCAGCCAAAAACAATTAAGTGCGCATAATAAGGAAGTGCCACGACATACTCTTTTCTTTGATCTTATAGTTAGCAACCACAAGGCAGCCTCTTATGTCCACTTCAATTGCACCAGACATTGGCAGAAACATTTGAACAACCCCCAGAGTGTTGGAACAAGCTTGAACTTTATAACTATCAACACAGATGAGCTTTCATTCGAACCCCCAGAGTGTTAACCGCCGTTTAATCAAGTCGGCCTGAGTGACTGTGACTCATATAGTTAAATCTCATAAAACACTTGAAATTTCCAACACGATCAAATGAATACCGGTACCACTTGAGAAAGGAACATAACTCTTCATCTTTACAGATGAGCCCCCATATAGTGAATATAACGCATGAGGGTACCATAAATTGCTTGTAATGAAGCATTTTGTACACTAGGCATTAGTTTTGAATGAAGATGGAGAGCAGTCTATTCTTTTGATATGTTTAAGTTTTCTGTTGCCACAACACCAAATGCATGGCTCTGCATGCATAATAAAGCAATAAGGTGTGGCACTCGTCATACGTTGAACCTGACTCTTAACAATAGCGTACGTTGAAGGCGCGGACAATAAAGGTTCTGTGAAATTTAAATGTTGGTTCCCACAATCTGACTGATTTATTGACCACACCCATCCCGATCCATCCGTCGAACAGAGATAACTATAAATTAATGAGGCGCAATGAACGTGGTTACCCTAATCCAAGGCGTAAACAGGAGTACACATACCCGTTGTCATGGTCTGTACATGATAAATACTTCCGACTTAGCCAAGTGAACAGTTTAAATTTGCCGCTTCTTTCAGCACAATTCATACATGATGTAATGATAAAGGCGTTGAACGTGGTTACCGTTCTTGATTAATCTTGTCAGGCACCCCATGCAATTTCAGGGGGGCAAAACTGGAAATATTCTGAAGAAGGCAATCTGTATGATATTGACACATTCTATCCCACATTAGCACGTTTGGATCAGTATTCCATACTTTTAGGCGATTCAAACTGCAGAAACAAGCCCTCAGATAAAGTCCTTTATTTTTGGGGTGGTACCCTAAAAGTCAATCCAAGTCCTTTCAGTAGCCGTTTTTCGTCAGAATTTTGGACATTTTTGCTCCATGGTTGTCCATATACATTGACTGATGTTACATTGATTGACGGAACAAAATCACATTGGGACAGTGTTGTTTCAAATTAGTATAGTGACTAGAATATTGACTTTGAAAAATCTGATTTCCAGGCCCTGGTTGCCAAAACACCAGTAATGCATAATAAAGCAATAAGGTGTGGCACTCGTCTCACGTTGAACAATAGCGTACGTTGAAGGCGTGGCACACAATAGAGTCTGTCCGATCATCTGACTGATTTGTGGACCACAACGATTGGTCTTAACCCATCCCCTTCCATCGATCCGTCGAACGGAGATAATCAATGAGGTGTAATGAACGTGGTTACCCTAATCCAAGGCGTAAACAGGAATACACATGCCCGTTGCTATGGTCTGTATATTATAAATACTTCCGACTTAGCCAATAAAGTGAACAGTGTGCTGCTTCTGTCAGCACATTTCAGACATCAAACAGAACATCTGGAGTCTCCAAGGCGTTGGGATATTCAGGTATGAACAATCTGTTTTTAGAGTTTATAATTTCATACTTGTGTGTATTTGTTTGTTTCGCATAAGGCCATGTTGATTTGATTATATGGATGACATCCTCCGGGAGCCCCAAAACTGATGCGCGCGTGCGAATAAAAAAAAAGTTTTGCAAAAAAAAAAAGTTCTTTTCATTATGAAATCTACGTGGTCATGAGGGTTGAGCAAATGGCACAGAGTATGGTTTGGCGAATAATCTAGTCTTCAAGTTCATTTCTTTACAATTTCGTCTTTTTTCGTTTGATTTTGGCATTCTACGACATTGGTATACTTTTCATTAATTTTTTTTGTAACTTATGGTATATTTTTGCTCATTTTGCAACTATTTTGTACGATTTACAGTATGGTTGAAAACTTTTATTTTTTTTGGAAACGGCCGAAAATTCATGCGCGCGCGGATGTCATCCATATAATCAAATCAACATGGCCTAACCGGTAAACCGCCTTTAGGCGTAATACACCAGTTTTGTACATGTGCGTACATGTACAAGCTGCGTCAGACCGGACTGTACGGTTTGAAGCACTCACACCGGGAAGGTCCCCTACTCTTTTCGATAAGTGTGTTGGGTTCTTTAACGTGCGTGGGGTGTGGCTCTCCCAAACACGGTACCTCCATTTAACGTCCTATCCGAGGGACGTCCCTAACCGAAGCTAGGTACTCATTTTCACCTGAGTGAAGTGAGGAAAGGCGTGTAAAGTGCCTTTCTCAAGGGCACAAGATCGGTGACATGGGTAGGATTCAAACCCGCGACCTCTTGGGTGGGAGCCGAACGCGCTACCGACTGCACACGACCCCACACTATAAAGTTCTACTGAGGAAGCGGTGCAGAGTACAAGCTGTAGAAAATTACGCATAATACCACACCAACATGGTCTTGTTCTCAGAGGAAAACAACGCCAATCACTAAAACTTCAGCACAGTAACTTCTAGTGGCACTTAGTCTAGGCACTTCAATAACGGCTAGATTCGCGCCTTTCAATGTGGCCTCACAGGACAAAAACACGGTCAAAGAGGCTGGCGCAAAAATCGAAAGGAAAATGAAACCATTATTTTCAACTGAAGCGTTGTCAGTGGAGCGTTTTGTAGACCGACCATTAGTATTGAGTGAAGATTGAGCTATTCATTTGGCATGTTTGATTTACCAACGCGAATGTGTAGTTTCCTGTTATCAAAACACCAACTAGCCCTGTATGGACAATAAAGCAATAGATATAGAGTATGTCATCTGTGTTACGTTGCACCTGCTTCGTAGCCGTTGAAAAGCTTACTTTGAAGGCGCGACAAAGGTGTATATAGCTCATGAGATGATATTTGTTCAGACAATCTCATCGAACGTGTTTTCTTGGACAGAAAGGCACGGTGTGACTGACAGGCCAGTAAATGTGCTAAATTGTGATTGGTTGCATGTTCTAACCAGGTTGTTTTCACTTCCCTGCCGTGTCAACTTGTGAGAGGTACCGCCGCCTGCCGTTGACTGTCTGACAAGTTTTGTTTTGTTCTTTTCTTATCTCATCATCATCAGTTCTTGAGTCTTGTCACGTAGGAAGGAGTCGATCTTAGCTTTTAAAAGAATGTTGACAGTCGGTGTCATATTTACCTAGGAGCACCTGTTTTCTCTTCTCAAAGTTTATAAAGTGGTATAAATAAAAAACGTGAAAAAACCTAAGACAGAACTATCAGTATCCTGATTTACTTCACATCTTGCTGAATTATTACTGTGTACTTTTTACAGACGAACTGTAATTGTTCATCAATACTTGAGTGGGGGACTCAAGTTCAGAAGCACACAGCCTTCTCGAGTTAAGGATTGGAGGAACTTTAATCCTACGTTATGTCTTGTTTTAGGAAGCTCGCATTTTTTTGCGCCCGGATAGTTTACGAACCTATGTAGCATTAAAATCTTTTTAGCGTTCAGCAAGAGCTCCCCCCCCCCCTAACACCGACATGAAGGTTCTAGCCATCTTGAGGCCGAGGAGAGGGGGGTGTCTCGGGTATATTTGTCTGTGCCCTTGGCGTTTGTCTCGACGTAGATGCTAGCTGTTTTGATTTGCCTCCTGAAACGGCTTTTTGTTTTCCTCCATCGGAGCGTGGAGCCATCCCAGTCGGCAAACACCCACCTGTCCCCCCGCTGATGACCTCTGTGTTGGCTCCTCCGGAACACTGATAAAGACCATAATCCTGGCTGGGGGGGCACAAACATAGTCAGGAGTCAAGGGCTTTGATGCTTGGCTGCATCTCGGAAGAAACGTCCAAATATTGTGACAGTAGTTACTAGTACATGTAGTAAAATTCGTTTAATCTAAAGGAAAGATGAAGTATAAGGTTTTGTCAGTTAGCAAGTCCACTTTTTTAACCACATTGAAGACCTAATGTAACACTAATTAAAACTTCTTCCATTGGCTTTTTAAAAAAATGGACTCGTTTGATAACCGTCAAGATGCTTATGATTCCCAAATGACTGCAGAAGCTGTAAACAGGAAAAATGCACATCGATATCAACTTGACAGATAGTAGAAAGGGTTTTCAAAGACATAACTAAATGTCTTCTCAACATATAATGTAAAAGATTCCAAACGTTGCAAGGTAAAGAAACTGTAAAGTTAAAATTGTGCGTTTTCAAAGGGTGGTCTTAAACATCGCACGAAATTGGTGGAAATTTGATATTTAGGCATGCCTGGAATCAAGAAGAAGAGGAAAGCATGTGTAAGGTTCCGTTTTTTTTCAATGGACTGAAATAACAGAATCTTCATGCATGCCTGGAAGCAAGAAGAAGAGGAAAGCATGCCTTTATGCATGATTTAAAAGTTTAGCCGATGATCGATGTTAGTTTTTTTTTTGTATTGAAAGAGGAAATCTCTCTCACTGTTCTCCGTCCCCTCCACTTGTGTACAGAAAAGAAGTGCACGTAGGTCCAAGCCCGTCTTCCTGGCCCGGTATGGTTTCACCCCTCTCAGTATCCCTAAAGTTGTTTATGAAACATTCCAACTTGACGCAAACAGCCTTCTTCGGGTGTCACTGGCAAAAACACCGTTCTGATGACTGTAAATGATAATTCACCTGGTAACAGTGACACTTGTTTTCAGTGGTAGCAATCTTCCCGTTTCTTACTGACTGTCAACACAAGTGTCCGATTCAATCATTTTGCCCTTCCTGTGTTTTGCAGGCTTTCCACTTCTAGTAAACATTTGAAGTTCGTTCACCTTTCTTATTGTCGGGACAAAGAGAACACCAGTTGGGACAACAAAGGGGCGGGGCTGACAAGGCTGTTGCTCATGACCTTACGCACCGAAGGACGCTGCAAGACCGAAACCCTTACCAGGAAAAGGTATCAAACCGCCGCACAGAGCGTACGGCAAACAGTCTCACCCGGGCACGGTAGTATGTGCAACATGTCTGCGGGGAGGGCTGCCGTCTGGCGCGCTGTCACCTTGTTGATGGTGTTCTTGGGACCTGGTACCGTCCATGGTTGGACCACACAGTGGCCTACCACACGCCGTCCCAGAGCCACCGCCACGACCGACAACAATACCTGGGTGACACAGTGGTCTACTACTGCACGCCGTCACTGGTGGGAAACTACACACAGCCGCGCCACCAACAACAATGACTGGACGACACAGTCGCCTAACACACGCCGTCAATGGGCTACTACACGCTCTCCGTGGGATACCACACGCCGCCAGTGGGACGATGATACTACACGCTCTCCGTGGGATACTACACGCCGTCAGTGGGCTACTACACGCTCTCCGTGGGATACCACACGCCGTCAGTGGGCTGATGATACTACACGCTCTCCGTGGGATACCACACGCCGTCAGTGGGCCGATGATACTACACGCTCTCCGTGGGATACCACACGCCGTCGGTGGGATACTACACGCCGGCAGTGGGCCGATGATACTACGCGATCTCCGTGGGATAGTACCACACGCCGTCGGTGGGATACCACACGCCGGCAGTGGGCCGATACTACACGCTCTCCGTGGGATACCACACGCCGCCAGTGGGCCGATACTACACGCTCTCCGTGGGATACCACACGCCGTCAGTGGGCCGATACTACACGCTCTCCGTGGGATACCACACGCCGTCAGTGGGCCGATGATACTACACGCTCTCCGTGGGAAACCACACGCCGTCCCTGGTGGGATACTACACGCCGTCCCTCCTATGTCGCCACCACCGACAACTATGCCTGGACAACACGCACACAAGCTGGGCAACAACAGTGGAGCACACAGGCTGACTACATCACGACTGATTCGCGTGAGTCTTTGCGTTTTAAAAGATTCAATTTTGTGTTTGGGATGGCATTAGACCAGATTTCAGGTTTGGGATGACATTGGACCAGTATTGTTGACATTGTGCCCCGCCCGGGTCTACTATAGCTATATCAATGCTTTTTTTTCTCCCATATCAAGTATAGTAGCACATTACCTACATTAACGCCACGTTGTAACTACATTGCTAAGTGATTGCACGTATAAAAGTGATGTTGAAATGGTGGGCGTATGTATCTTGACTTCACCTAAATCTGTTTATCATCTGGTTCAGAAGTGAACTCCGCCGGTCTACTTTTATTTTTAATTCGGCCACGCGTTGTTACAAGAAAACTCAACATTACTTTATTTTTAGCTTTAGCTTTAGCCGGACGTTAAACTATACGTGTTATTAACACCGCAATTGTTTTCGCAAATGTGCTGACGAAAATGAAAGCCCTTTGCGCAAGGGGTGGTCAGCCGTGCAGGTAACATGAGAAGTGGGCTAAGTTTATGTTAACAGTGCTGGTTGTCATGTAGACAGCCTAGACGTGCACACAGTTCGTTTTGGCTGTCTGTTTGACTCACTGTTGATGTTCTGTAAATAGTAGTGGATAAAAAGGTCTCGTCGTTTGCAAAACGTCGAAAGAATTCGGTGCAAACACGTTTGATGATTCGCAGTTTGTCATAGACCAATTTATTTTGGCTACAGACACGCTACGAGATTTTGTTTGTTTCTGTATTCATGAAAGCTCAAATCAGCATGCAAGCCGCTTGTTAGGTCATGAGGGAAGACGCAAGGGTCAGACAAAATATCAACAAGAAGCCATAGGTGACAATTCTCCGTGAAGTATTATATATTGCAACAAAAAGAAGTAGCCATTGGCGACAATTCTCTGTGAAGAAAATAAATCGAACAAAGAAAAATTGTTTAAACGCGCGTCGGCTCAGTCATCTTAAGTCGCAACAACCAATCAGAGATGCGAAATGCCGACACGTGACGCGGGATTTGGGGAAGGGCGCGCGATGCCCGAAATATTTTTGCGTCAATATTCAGCGCCGTGTTTCAAGAGATTAATACCGAGAAACAAATTCTTTTCTTGTTTTGAACGCATAAACATGCATTTACGCTAATCTAGTATGATTCAGGGTTACTTTTTTTTTACCTGCCATGTCCAGATTATCTAAAGATGTGTGTATTGTGTGTACAATCTACAGAAAGAGAAATGTACATCAGGTCCGATCATCCGATTTTCACGTTTCGGTTTTTTGGACTCGGTTCATGAACGTATTTTGGTTTGGCTCCTGGAATGTGCGAAAAAAATGACTCCCGGGACTGTCTACAGGCATGACAGGGAACACTCGCACATTCGCGGTGTATCAGGACAGCGCGACTGGTCGGCATTAGCGCAGTCCCTGCAATTAGTAACAGTTGCACATCAATCCGGCCGAAAGCATGATTGTGTAACACAGGCTACTTCTTCATATACCGGCTCATACTACACGACGCCTTTACAACTAGCAAATCATAAAATTACCCGATCTACTAGTACTGTATGTGCGGTTTACCAGCCCCAGACCACATCTGACCACGAGGCAGAACACATTGATGGGTTGCTCAAAAATATTGTCCATCTTTACAAAGAGCTGCTCCACTAACACTATGGAGCGGCCCAACCCAAAAATATTGGCCATGTATCGTTGCTAGGACGACCGGCCAGTTGCTACGTGACTAAATACACGCCGCCACTAGGTCGCCACACCCGACCAGTTTGAAATCGATAGGATTACGTTATCGGTATTAACATTTCCTAATGTCGACCATCAGCCCCGCCGCGACTTACTACCGGTGACATAAACGGACGACAACATTTCAACGGCATGGGGATGTTTCGAAAATAACCATTTACTCCAATATCAAAACAGCTACGGTAAAAATAAAAAGACGTGCATCATCCCGGACATAATGCAACACCACATGCGAAATTACACAGAAATGCGACGTACGGAAGAATGCGTTTTGGCTGCGAACATCTTCCAAAAAACTTGGCATCTCTTAACCATGGGCAAAAACATCTGGAACCACTTATCAAAACCACCCCGTATCTGCATGAACTTTTACCCCCCCCCCCACTGCTATTCCAAACAACGCGTTTTTCTGGACCATTCCAATTCGCCTCGTAATTGTAGGGGTGCGTCTGCGATATTACATTGACCGCGAAAGCAGCAACGGCAAAAATACACATTCGTGCATCAACACGGGCATGCCCGCAGACGGCGTATAAAATTGCGTGCCGATTACACAAAGAGAACCCAGTGTTTTGACTGCGAACATGAAAAATCAGCCGATCACAACACTCCGTCCGGAGGTCCTGACCTCCTTCACGGAGTAACAAGATAAAGTTTACACCATTGCTATGATCAAAGCGTAGCACAAGCAGAATAAAGGACATAATTTTAATGCATGCACTTGGAAGCACGCACTACTTACATGACAGTCACTCTCATTTTGTAGCCTGAACGGGTTGTCGTGCGTTGTTCACTTTGATGACTTTCTATTTCCAGCTTGTGTCTGCCCGTCTGGTGCCGTCGGCAAGCTTCGCAGAAAGCGACAACTTGAAGGTATTTATTGTACAGTAAGGGACATCAGCCGGTGTGTTTGTAAAAGGCACTAACGCATGCAAAAGAAAGCAAATTGAGCAATGAATCATTCTGCAATAATCATGTAAACGTAATTATGCGAGAAAACTGTGAACGTTGTTGGAGCATATTGTCCGTACATTTACGATATGAATACTTTAATGATGCATAGTGTATGTGCATTACGTGTTAAGTACGCATGCATAATAATGTATAGCAATATTTTAGTTTGATCTCAACATTACCTTTGAAGTCCATGTTTTATCACATTTCACTAAAGCCTGGACAGACGATGGATACACAACCGAAGCTGCGTACGCAACCACCGATGAACAAGGGTACGCAACAGCCGATGCGCAACAGTACGCAACCACCGATGCACAGCAGTACGCAACAGACGATGCACAAGAGTACACAACAGCCGATGCACAAGAGTACACAACCACCGATGCACAACAGTACGGAACAGACGATGCACAAGAGTACACAACAGCCGATGCTCAAGAGTACACAACAGCCGATGCACAAGAGCACACAACAGCCGATGCACAACAGTACGGAACAGACGATGCACAAGAGTACACAACAGCCGATGCTCAAGAGTACACAACCACCGATGCACAACAGTACGGAACAGATGATGCACAAGAGTACACAACAGCCGATGCACAACAGTATCATACAACAGCCGATGCACAACAGTACGCAAGAACTGATGCACAACAGTCCACAACAGCAGATGCACAAGAGTACACAACAGCCGATGCACAACAGTACGCAACAACTAATGTACAACAGTACCCAACAACTGCAAATCAGTACCCAACAACAGCTGCACAACAGTATCACACAACTGCAAATCCGTATCCAACAACTGATGCACAACAGTATCACACAACTGCAAATCAGTATCCAACAACTGCTGCACAACAGCATCACACAACTGCAAATCAGTACCCAACAAGAACTGCACAACAGTATCCGACAACCGATGCACAACAGTACCCAACAACTGCAAATCAGTACCCAACAACAGGTGCACAACATTATCCGACAAGCTCCTTCGACGAATGTGTCTGTGAGGAGACAACAACAGTAACCACCACGGTCTCAACTACCCCACCCGAAGGTATCGTACATATATAGCGAAAATTGATTTTACATTTTTCTTAAATATATTGTCAATTTTATATATATAAATTGGGCTATTAAACAGTCTACTACTACACTGACGTACATTGCATTCTCTCATGAAATCACCATGGACGACGTGATTAACCCAGTGCCGTTTTCAGTATCCACTATCTTTGTGAGCTAAAACTTCAGCATGCGTGAAATGATATATCGACGAGAATTACAGCTGAATCTGTTTTTTAAAACAAGTTCTTGTTGGCTTACCCAGTGGACGGGTGCAGTGAAACTCTCAACCCCTGCGTACACAATGCCACCTGCGCAGACATCCCCGGACCCGGGATCACAGACGCTAACTGTACATGCGGGGCTGGGCTGGAGGGAGACGGGAGGAGGGACGGCACGGGATGTACAGGTGTGGGGCGTTCAATGATGATGATGTTGAAAGACCTTTATTGTAAAGTCATGCCACGACGGGCTACTGGTACAGGTCAAGACTTAACAGACACATAACAAGCGTATAATATATACAAGTGGGGACAAAAGATACACTACGTGACTTAGACATACATACATAAGGATCTAGGAACATACTATACTAGGCTAATACAAAGTGCTCTGGCTACTGAGCTAATACAGAGTGGTCAAGTTCTTCTCGCTTTTTTTGAGGAATGTGGGAACAGATCATGTTTGTGATACAAGCTTGTCTAGGCGCATCAAAAATATAAATTTCTCGTTTGCAATTAGGTGTTCGAAGTGGGAACCTCTCAGATCTTTCAATGTGTACATGCTCGCATTGCCGATGATTACATCTCACTCAGAGTCAGACTCATGCTGGTCTGAAACTTTTTTAAAGGCTCTTGGTGGCAAATGTGCAGATGTTGGCACATTGGCGCACCAAATCCGTAGTGTGTTTTGGGCACAGTTAGACAGATTTTAGGCTCGGTGGGCGTCACTCCACAAGTACAAGTGGGGAAGTCGTGTAGAGTGCCTTTTCCAAGGGCACAACGTTGGGCCACGGTGAGTATCGAACCCGGGACCTATTGGTTCCGAGTCCAACGCTCTAACCGTTGCGCCGCCGACGCCAACGAAACTGTTGTTACGTGTTACCTACTGCGGACTGTATCATTGTACCAAGCTCACTGACAAATTGCTTCTGATCATGATCAAAGACCATTGCTAATAGGGAAAACGGGACCCGATTGCTATAATACATGTTGGAATGGCTCTCCATTAGAGACCATACATTTGCATCATGATTAATTCAGAAAGATGGAAAGAGGAGCTGTGCTGCCTGTCGTGTTGCCAAACTGGTCAACAAAGAAATTTTCATTGAAATGGTGTCATCATTACTTCGTATGTTTGTTTCCTGTAGATATTGACGGGTGTGTGAACAGCGGCAGTTTCTGCGCGTTTTACGCCACCTGTGTGGACCACCCCGCACCCCAAACCGGAGCGACCTGCCGATGTGACGAGGGGCATGATGGGGATGGGAGGATCCACGGAACAGGGTGCATTGGTATGTTCATACGTTGAAGTCAGAAGTTCTTGCTGGAAAGGGTCGCAGTCCCTAGGACGGGACGTTCAAGCTGTGGTTCACTGTTCATTGTGCTTGTCGAAAAGAGCAAGGGAACTTCGCCGGTGATGAACCTGTAAATACTGTACATAGTGTCTGCCTTCTCTGTCACGACCACGAGAGATTAGCTCTTCAGTGAGCTCGACCGAGATTGCTTTCCTTTATATTCTTCAAGTCATGCCATGTCATTTTTGACCACATTAAAGTTAGCCCTCCTTTCGGCCTTCGATTCGCAACCTTCGATTGAGCCTTCGATTCGAATGGTAGGCACTATTTCGGATACGTCTCAGGCGCGGAAGCATTCTACTGTCCCACATATGCAAATGAGCACGCATACAGTATGTAAATAGACATTCCACGTACGTATGTCAAACCAAACCACAACCTTTCAGACTCTGTATTCATTTGATTAAATAATCGTCTAATTTTCAACAGCCAAATGAGTCTTTATAACCTTTAAGTGGTTAATACTATCGAATTAAATTAATTAAATCAACGCACATGGATTTATCTTCACGTCAAAGATTCAAGAATGCCGTCGAGAAGCGCACCCAACATGTTTCAATCCGACGCCTTCTTGCAAAGTATCGAAATAATTTTTAATAACGGAAAATCTTTTACAAATCTTTGAAAGGTTCAAACTATAAGATTCAACTAATAAAACTAACACACATTTTGTAGTTTTGACGCTATGACGTCATGGATTCAACCATACAGATTCGTAGGGCCAGAATCCCTGTTTATATGATGATACATGTATTCAACTACTCGTAGCTAATTAACGAAATAATTTAAGTTTTCAAATCATTTTAAACAATCTTTTAGAGGTCCATACCACCAACTAAAACTGATAAAACTAACGCACATTGCGCCGTTTTGACGCTATGGCGTCATGGATTCAACCATACAGATTTGTAGGGCCTGAATCCCTGTTTATATAATGATATTCAACTACTCGTACCGAATTAACGAAATAATTTTTAGTTTTCAAATCACTTTTAACAATCTTTTAGAGGTTCATACCACTAAATAAAACTAATACAACTAACGCACATTGCGTCGTTTTGACGTCATGACGTCATAGATTAAACTATACGGATTTTCGAGAATAACAACACTAGTGGATGCATGGACATTGAACGCCATGTTGCAAAGTCAAGGAATAATTTATAAGAACCAAATGTACTTTTAAACAGTCTCAAAAGGTCCACAACACAAGATTCGACAAATAAAACAAACGCACATTGCGTCGTTTTGACGTCATGACGTCTTAGATTCAACCATACAGATTTGTAGGACAAAAATTCCTGTTTGTATGATATTCAACTACTCGTACCTAATTTACGAAATAATTTTTAGTTCTCAAATCAATTTAAACAATCTTTTAGTTGTTCATACCATCAAATAAAACTGATAAAACTAACGCACATTGCCTCGTTTTGACGTCATGATGTCATTGATTCAACCATACGGATGTCTAGGGCCTGAATCCCTATTTATAATGATATTCAACTACTCGTAGCTAATTAACGAAATAATTTTTAGTTTTCAAGTCACTTTTAACAATCTTTTAGAGGTCCATACCATCAAATAGAACTGATACAACTAACGCACATTGCGTCGTTTGGACGCTATGACGTCATGGATTCAACCATACAGATTTGTAGGGCCTGAATCCCTGTTTATATAATGATATTCAACTACTCGTAGCTAATTAACGAAATAATTTTAAGTTTTGAAATCATTTTAAACAATCTTTTAGAGGTCCATACCACCAAATAAAACTGATACATCTAACGCACATTGCGTCGTTTTGACGCTATGACGTTATGGATTCAACCATACAGATTTGTAGGGCCTGAATCCCTGTTTATATAATGATATTCAACTACTCGTACCGAATTAACGAAATAATTTTTAGTTTTGAAATCACTTTTAACAATCTTTTAGAGGTCCATACCATCAAATAGATCTGATGAAACTAACGCACATTGCGTCGTTTGGACGCTATGACGTCATGGATTCAACCATACAGATTTGTAGGGCCTTAATCCCTGTATATATAATGATATTCAACTACTCGTACCGAATTAACGAAATAATTTTTGGTTCTCAAATCACTTTTAACAATATTTAAGAGGTTCATACCACTAAATAAAACTGATACAACTAACGCACATTGCGTTGTTTTGACGTCATGTCATACCGTCATGTCATGTCATGTCATGCAGAACCGCAACCGCGGTCTATTTAATTATATTTGACGCGTTGTAGCAAAGTAACGAAATAATTTTAAGTATTCAAGTGGTTTTTAACAATCTTTTAGAGGTCCATACCATCAAAGAAAACTAATAAAACTAACGCACATTGTGTCGTTTTGACGTCATGACGTTATAGATCCAACAATATAGATTTGCAGGACCGCATTCGAATTGTATTTAATAATACTAGTATATTATAATTGGTTTATTTGCTTGTATCAACATATTTACAACATATCTCGCAGCCTTGACATACAGGGCTGAATTTTGATCAAGTTGTTTATAATATAAGTTATTAATAGTAGGGAAATACAAATTGAAATCATATCGGAATCTACATATTAATATATCACTTTGGTACTGGTATTTACAATCTTACAATCGCACAAACTGTGAATCACTTAAATTTTAACATATTAGTCGTAATAAATAATTAAATAAATCATCATGGTAAATCAATTCCTGTGTCACAATAAAGTAGTGGTCAGTGGATCTTGTGGTGCTATTACATATTTGTGCTGTTTAGGAGGGATACCATGTAAGGGATTGGGCTTTTTTTGTATCTGTCAGTCCTAGTTGTGATTGTGTCTATGAGTTGAGATGTTCTCGTATGTCTGCCGCTAACCTCGCCACGGAGAGGTGGGAGCCAGTTTCTGAATTTTACAGATTTTAGTATTTAACGCCTTGTAGCAAAGTAACGATATGATTTTTAGTAATCAAATAACTTTTAACAAGTCTTAAGTTATCTACACTATCCGATTCAACAAATAAAACTAACGCACATTGCGAAGTTTCGACGTCATGACGTCATAGATCCAACAATACAGATTTGCAGGACCGCATTCGAATTGTATTTAATAATACTAGTATTTAACGCCTTGTAGCAAAGTAACGAAATAATTTTTAGTATTCAAATAACCTTTAACAAGTCTTAAGTTATCTACACTTTCCGATTCAACAAATAAAACTAACGCACATTGCGAAGTTTCGACGTCATTTTGATTTGATGGTTTGGACCTTTAGAAATTGTTAAAATTGATTTAAAAACTAAAAATCATTTCGTTAATTAGGTACGAGTAGTTGAATATCATTATATAAACAGGGATTCAGGCCCTACAAATCTGTATGGTTGAATACATGACGTCAAAACGTCGCAATGTGCGTTAGATTTCTCAGTTTTGGTTGATGATATGGACCTATAAATGATTGCTAAATTCATTTGAGAACTAAAAATTATTTTGTTAATTAGGACGAGTAGTTGAATATAATTATATAAACAGGTATTCTTGGCCCTAGAAATACTGTATGGTTGAATCCATGACGTCATAGCGTCAAAACGACGCAATGTGCGTTAGTTGTATCAGTTTTATTTAGTGGTATGGACCTCTAAAAGATTGTTAAAAGTGAGTTGAAAACTGAAAATTATTTCGTTAATTAGGTACGAGTAGTTGAATATCATTATATAAACAGGGATTCAGGCCCTACAACTCTGTATGGTTGAATCCATGACGTCATGACGTCCAAACGACGCAATGTGCGTTAGTTTCATCAGTTCTATTTTTTGGTATGGACCTCTAAAAGATTGTTAAAAGTGATTTGAAAACTGAAAATTATTTCGTTAATTAGGTACGAGTAGTTGAATATTATTATATAAACAGGGATTCAGGCCCTACAACTCTGTATGGTTGAATCTATGACGCCAAAGCGACGCAATGTGCGTTAGATTTATCAGTTTTATTTGATGAAATAGACCTCTAAAAGATTGCTAAAATTGATTTGAGAACTAGAAATTATTTCGTTAATTAGGTACGAGTAGTTGAAAATCATTATATAAACAGGGATTCAGGCCCAAAAAATCTGTATGGTTGAATCTATGACGTCATGACGTCCAAACGTCGCAATGTGCGTTAGTTTTATCAGTTTTATTTGATGGTATGGACCTTTAAAAGACTGTTAAAATTGATTTGAAAACTTAAAATTATTTCGTTAATTAGCTACGAGTAGTTAAGTTGAATATTGAGTTGAATACTGAATATCGAATATCGAGTGTTGGATCTATGACGACATGACGTCCAAACGACGCAATGTGCGTTAGTTGTATCAGTTTTATTTGATGGTATGGACCTCTAAAAGATTGTTAAAAATTGATTTGAGAACTAAAAATTATTTCGTTAATTAGGTACGAGTAGTTGAATATCATTATATAAACAGGATGCAGGCTCTACAAATCTGTATGGTTGAATCCATGACGTCATGACGTCCAAACGACGCAATGTGCGTTAGTTTTATCAGTTTTATTTGATGGTATGGACCTCTAAAAGATTGTTAAAATTGATTTGAGAACTAAAAATTATTTCGTTAATTAGGTACGAGTAGTTGACAATCATTATATAAACAGGATGCAGGCCCTAGAAATCTGTATGGTTGAATCCATGACGTCATGACGTCCAAACGACGCAATGTGCGTTAGATTTCTTAGTTTTATTTGATGGTATGGACCTCTAAAAGATTGTAAAAATTGATTTGAAAACTTAAAATTATTTCGTTAATTACCTACGAGTAGTTAAGTTGAATATTGAGTTGAATACTGAATATCGAATATCGAGTGTTGGATCTATGACGTAAAATCGACGCAATGTGCGTTAGTTGTATCAATTTTATTTGGTGGTATGGACCTCTAAAAGATTGTTAAAATTGATTTGAGAACTAAAAGTTATTTCGTTAATTAGGTACGAGTAGTTGAATATCATACAAACAGGGATTCTGGCCCTAGAAATCTGTTTAGTTCAATTTATGACGTCATGACGTCCAAACGACGCAATGTGCGTTAGATGTATCAGTTTTATTTGATGGTATGGACCTTTAAAAGATTGTTAAAGTTGATTTGAGAACTAAGAATTATTTCGTTAATTAGCTACGAGTAGTTAAATATCTATTATATAAACAGGGTATTCTGGCCCTAGAATATGTTTGGTTGAATCTATGACGTCATGACGTCAAACCGACGCAATGTGCGTTAGTTTTATCAGTTTTATTTGATGGTATTGACCTTTAAAAGACTGTTAAAATTGATTTAAAAACAAAGAATTATTTCGTTAATTAGCTAGGAGTAGTTGAATATAATTATATAAACAGGGATTCTGGCCCTAGAAATCTGTATGGTTGAATATATGACGTCATGACGTCCAAATGACGCAATGTGCGTTGGTTTTATCAGTCGAATTTTGTGGTATGGACCTCTTGAGAATTTTTAAAAGACATTTGGTTTCTAGAAATTATTCCGTTACTTTGCAACATGGCGTTAATTCTCTATGCATCCACTAGTGTTGCGATCCTCGAAAATCCGTATTGTTTAATCTATGACGTCATGACATCTAAACTTCGTAATGTACGTTAGTTTTATCAGTTTTATCTGATGGTATAGACCGCTAAAAGATTGTTAAAAACATTTGAATGCAGAAAATTATTTCGTTACTTTGCAACAAGGCGTCTAATTGAAACATGTCGGGTGCGGTCCTGGACGGCATTCTTGAATCTTTGACGTGAAGATGAATCCATGTGCGTTGATTCATTTCGATAGTATCGACCACTTAAAGATTATTAAAACTCATTTGGTAGTTAAAGATTAGAAGATTATTTAATCAAATGAATACAGAGTCTGAAAGGTTGTGGTTTGGTTTGACATACGTATGTGCAATGTCTATTTACATACTGTATGCGTGCTCATTTGCATATATGGGACAGTAGAATGCTTCCGCACCTGAGACGTATACGATATAGTGCCTACCATTCGAATCGAAGGCTCAATCGAAGGCTGGCGAATCGAAGGCCGAAAGGAGGGCTAACTTTAGGTTGGTCATTTTTGAGTAGAGAATGTCCTGGTTGTAGGAGACAGACCATCGGGGGTTGCCAGTGTTTCCCTCACTAACTACTAGTATTCGTGTGTACCCGTTTTGCAGTGGCGGATGACAACCTGTATCCATTCGGGCCGTCACATGGCGACCGTGAATATGCGGACGGGACCTGGTACTGGTCCCGCTGCGTTTACGTGTACATTTCGCCAGATGGCTTCCCTTACTTCAACCGACGACACCATCGGCTTTACGTAAGTGACAACTCACTTAGACGATAGGCTAGGATTTGAGTTTTGTTCAAAGAATTACTCCTTTCTATGCTAGCCTTTTTATTTGTAGAAACCGTGGTAACATGTCCCGTCATTTTATACAACATGATCCGTTAAAGTAGCAAGAATGTCATTTGACAGAAACCCATCTGTCGATCGTTCTAGGTCTGCGACAACGGTGTGATCCAGTTTGACCGGAGCTACAGGAACAGTTGGCCGACCAAGTTTGGGTCCGCCTGGTACATGCGTTCCCGCGCCATGATAGCACCCTTCTGGGCTTACTCTGATCCCTCGTCATTCAGGTAAGGCCATGTTGATTTGATTATATGGATGACATCCTCTGGGAACCCCAAAACTGAGGCGAGTGCGCGGAAAAAAAGTTTGGCAAAAAAAAATAACAAATAACACAAAGTATGGTATGGCAAATACTTAATCTACTCTTCAAATTCATTTCGTTACATTTTCGCTTGATTTGGCATTGTACGACAACTTACGGTATACATTTGATCAGTTGGCAACTGTTTTGTACGGTTTACAGTGTGGTTGAAAACTCATTAAAACGTCTCTCCGTACATTTACATGATATGAAACTATAGACAACACATTAACTCAACTAGGTAGGCTAGGTAGGTACGTTGCTTAACTTTTATGTTAACTTGGCATTGCAAATGTATGCATGCATCTGTTAACTATTTACTGTAGAATTCAATATATTCGACATATTTTCTTTGTCAAACAATCTAAATTGCTTTCCTTGTGTTCTCACCAGTCGTTTTGATGAAGAGACGCTGAAGTCCCACATCTACTACCAGGTGTACAAAGAGGGTGATGGTAAGATCGACACGTCCACCATCTTGACACGAGCCAGTCTAGATGCCCGCAACACGCCCAATACTAACGTGCCCTCAGGTAAAATCTTCAGTTTTTTTTTTTTTATTCCAACATGTAGTCACAAGACGTGGTGACGGCACACTCTAGTTTTTCCAACTTATATTAATGCCGCCAACAACACAGGGGACAATACATTATACTCATTTTCACCTGAGCGAAGTGAGGAAAGTCGTGTTAAGTGCCTTCCCAAGGGCACAAGATCGGTGGCATGTCAGGACTCAAACCCGGGACCTCTTGGTTCCAACTCGAGCACTCTGCCGCTACGCCACACGACCCCATCTGTTTTTATGATGCTTCTCATTCTGAAATGATACCCTGCATTTTCTCGAAAACCCTGCCCAGACTTCCAGGCTACCTGGGTGCTGGTTGTGACGTGGATCCGTCTGCCTCCCAACGTTGGCTGCGGGTCATACTACACGAGATGGTGGTACAGCTACTACTACTGCAACAGGGACCTCACGTCACTGGAGGTGAGCAGACCGAAAATAGTTCAACACAAACATTTGGATTATGAACCAATATACGTCTTAGATTCTCACTAGGCTCTGCCTTCATTCAATATAATATTATATAGTATTCATGTAGCAGTTTATTGAACTTAACTGGCTGCAATTGATGTTCAGAAACTTTTCAGAAAGTTATTTTTCTTTTAGATGGTTCCGAACCTTATTTTCCTGAAAAATCATTATCAAAATTGCCAAGAGACACGTTTAGCTATTCAAGTACTTTTTGACACACTATCAGAACATAATATGTGAGGTGTGAATTACAATTCTTTTTTGATAATGTTTTCAGGTAAACTCCTTCCAAGCCATCCTTATCACTGACGGTATCTACTCGTTCGCCAAGTTTGTCTACCCCAAGAACGGCATCAAATGGGTCTATCCTGGTGAGAACATACTTCAATTTTATCTATCAATGGGAACGACAAATTATCATTTGAGGGCTTGCAACACCAGCAACTGTTGCTAGAGGGATCCATAACATATCTGATAGTAACGTCCATGTTTCAAACCCAGAAACCTTCACCAACTTTGATATATTTTCTCATATATAAGTTTGAAACTCAATCGCGGCCAAATCAATGACACGTAAAGCTTTTAATGTTTTCATCTAGTAAGTTGAGACAGCCTCCTTGGTTGAAGTCTTATTTTGTATCTCCGGTTTTCTGACTGTCTGATTGTATTCATTTACTTCCCAGATGTGCAGTGGAGGTATTACCATTACTACTCTAACCTGAGAGGCCTTCCCGTGGCCGGGTACGGGGCTGGGGACTCGTACTTCTACAAGTGAGTGAGGAAAAGTGTTTGATTGTTCTGCGTTACTACAAATGCGTAATATTCTACCAAGTTTCCGTATGTTGAAACGATAGGCCCAAAGGAAGGCCTCGCTTATAAGACCCAAGTTCGTTTCTGAAACATCCACAGGAATTTCCAAAATACATTGTAGTAAATGTTCTTATCAATCCATCAGCTATTACTACTACTACTGGTCCTGGGGCTACAGAGAACACTTCTACAACGTGCCTAAGTCCGGCACACTGAACATGCGGAATATTGATGAGGTGCCGGGCAACACAGGTAATAACTGTTACATCAGACATTTGACCGGACACAATGAACTACGAGATGACACACCGAATTCCGTTGGGCAAATGGCCTTGCAGTTTTTTATTCCAACATCTAATCACAAGACGTAGTGACGGCACACTCAAGTTTTTTCAACTTAATTATTAATGCCGCCACCAACACAGGGGACAATGCAATGTACTCATTTTCACCTGAGTGAAGTGAGGAAAGTCGTGTAAAGTGCCATTCCCAAGGGCACAAGATCGGTGGCATGTCAGGACTCGAACCCGGGACCTCTTGATTCCGAGTCGCGCACTTTGCAGTTCTAAACGAGAGTCAAGTAATAGGACAAAAATTACCACCAAACGTACAAAGACGAAACAGGATTTCTGATACGTCTTACCCATGTCTGGAGCCACATGCTCATTTCACATGAAGAAGGTTTGAGATCCAACCTATATATATATATATATATATATATATGCTTTACACCCAATTCTGCTCGTGTTGTTATGAAAGTTTGTTTTCCTTGTGCTTAATCTTACATCGTCTGCAGGAGAGACGGGAGTGTCCATCTACCGCCTGGAGAACTCAGACGGGTCCATCCCGCCGACCATCTACTGTCGCCGCTGGTACTACAGCACAACTCCGGCCTGGCACAACTGGGGTTACCACCGGCTGACCCCCTGCCCCTGCAGCCGGCAGCAGGCTAGGCGGGACGACAGGTACGGAACGTTAACGTTTAACTGTCAACAGGGTGTCGTTTTCTAATTGGTTTGTGCCCCATAACTGCCTCCATTGGTTGGGAATGCGCAGATGTGACCCCAAAAACGTTAGCCTGCACCAGGCCTTTCTACGGGAATACGGATCGTAGAAGTCGACAAAAAAGAGAATAAAATTGGCCAAGGGAATCCAGCTGCGGGGAGGTAGTTTCTTTCCCTCCGAAGTGGCCAGTCAGTCAAACCCCAAGGTGGCCAAACTCCTCTGGCAAACTCCCCAAACTCCTATATATAGCCAGCGTAGGTAGTCTGGTAGAGACTACAAAAACGTTATGACCGTCAGCAGTTTTTGACCTGGTATTTATCTGGTAGTACTTAATTACATCATTACAAACTTCATGAAAATCATTAAATGACATTGGCTTACTACATTGTATCGCAAACTGTGCAACATGACTACAGGTACTACTACTCCGGGAACGACTGCTGGACCTCCCTGTCGACGAGATTCGGCCTGCGGCAGAAGTGTTGCTACACGCCGGTACGCTGGTACTACATCCGCCGCTGGTACTACAGTTGGTGGTCTGGCCGCTACGTGTCCTACTACTCCTGGTTCCGTACCGGGGGCTTCCTCATCAGGTGGGGCAGAAACGCCGGGCACGTCATCGTGGTAAGTACCAAAATTGTTTCCTATCCCCTCCATTTTATTTCTCGGCGTAGACTGCAACAGGCTAGTACACAGTAACACGTGATGTGGTAACATAACTTTATATTATCCTTATGATGATGAATAAGATATGAACAATCAGCCTTCAGATTTTTGACTGTACTCACTATAGTAACAATAGCTACTGGTGCTCTTTCTTACGAAGGGGTAAGGTCATATTTCAGCGCTACACAAGAAAACTTAGCCGTGAATGAGTGAATGCTAACTGTTATGAGTGAATGCTAACTGTTAAAAGCAGCTAAACAAATAATCCTGATGCATTCTGTCCCATAGAACTGGAACGACGACCATATTGCCCAGCGGAAGTGCTGTCAGGAGTCCTACTCCAACTGTCACCTCTTCCGGTACAGACGGCCTACCAACCGCTGCTGGGGGTACAGGCCGCCGTGGAGAAGTAAATATACTAACACCTTCATGTTTGCAAGTAGACTTCTGTTAACACAACTCAATATCCTCATCGACATTTGTGCTACCTTCATGAAGGTGTCATGAAAACATACTAGTATATTTTTTATATTGTTCATGATTATAAAGATGATTATTAACCCCAGTCTCGTATTAGCCATATGGTGATTTACATCATTCCTAATATGCACGAGCTGTAGCGAAGCTGCATTGCTCAAGTATAGCTACTAGAAGAAACATCATGCTGCTAGAAAAAGCAGATGCTTCACCTCAGCATGCTGAGGATGACTGGCGACGTCGGTAGTTATTCAGAATTTGAAAATACCACTTTCTGAGACGACCAGTGTTAAAACATTACTGTAATTCCTTCTCATTATGCTTCTCCTGCCTTGCAGGATGGTTCTGGGGAGACCCGCACATCATCACGCTGGACGGGAAGGGCTACACGTTTAACGGGCTGGGGGAGTACCTGCTGTTCCATGTGGATGATGGCAACTACACCGCACAGGTGCAGGCCAGGACAAACAAGGCACCAGGTACGGGTCTGGGAATCATCATGTTTACCGAAGGAAAACATATTGTTTCTGCTCTGTTTCATCTTCTTCTCCAAACCAATAAGGTCAATGACCTGAACCAGACGTCTGTCACCATGGTAACATGTGTTAGGTTACATCATGTTGCAACTTTCTGGCAGGAGGGATTTAGACTCCTGACACAATATATATGAATGTGTTTGAGTAAGAATTGACAGAGCAGACCATATGTGAAGGTTAACATTATGTATTTGCTTTGCAAATGTTACCTTTCTAGTTACACTCGTCTTTGTAGTGCGAGGAAAGATTATAACACAAGAAATGAATGTTAGTTCCTGTTTCACGACATGTCCAGGAAGTGACAAGGCGACGGTGTTTACTGCTGTCGTCGTCAGCGAAAATAACGGCCTGGGAATCCAGCTAAACATCAACAACCAATCAGAGGCAGGCATGGATCTGTACATCAATGGGACCTTACAAGACATACTTGGTATGTGACGTAATATCAAACGGATCTTATGTGGCAAAAACATGCTATGGCGTTATTAGAAATACTGTAAATGATGCTTTTCTGGTCTGTGTGTTTCCTACTTCGCCATCATCTTTAAAGCTAGAAGAGACTCTTCTTGTTGGCGAATAAAGGGAAAACTAACTACATGGAAAACTAATTGAAGGGAAAACTAACTGAGCTACATGTTTACCGATACTGAACATTTGCACCGTTTCTATAATGTAAACCATGCGTAGAATTTGTAAAGAAACATGCGTTATTTCCTAGTGTATGACAACACGACAAGTAACCACACCCTCCTGGAGGATGTGCTGTTCTCAAGGCCCACCACAAACTCCTTCAAGATACAGCTGTCGTCTGGCATCAGCCTGACCACCACGTCTGAAAAGGTAGATGTTACCTTTTTAATGCATGAAATTTGATTTCAACATTCAACGAAGACACCGTTACTCTGATATGACGACCGTAGCAATCTTTTGTCTGAGCCATCATTACATAACCTGCCCTTGGTGCTGAACACACCGTCTACACAAATGTACATGCCGCTGGCGCACAGTACCATCTACTAACAAACCTGTCCTAGGTGCTGAACACACCATCTACGCAAATGTACAAGCCACTGGCGCACAACACAATCTGTACATAACCCTGTCCTTGGTGCTGAACACACCATCTACACAAATGTACAAGCCACTGGTACACAACACCATCTGTACAAACCTGTCCTTGGTGCTGAACACACCATCTACACGAATGTACAAGCCACCGATGCACAACACAATCTGTACACACCTGTCCTTGGTGCTGAACACACCATCTACACGAATGTACAAGCCACCGATGCACAGCACAATCTGTACACACCTGTCCTTGGTTCTGAACACACCATCTACACGAATGTACAAGCCACTGGTGCACAACACAATCTGTACACTACCTGTCCTTGGTGCTGAACACACCATCTACACAAATGTACAAGCCACTGGTACACAACACCATCTATACACACCTGTCCTTGGTTCTGAATACACCATCTACACAAATGTACAAGCCACTGGTACACAACACCATCTATACACACCTGTCCTTGGTGCTGAACAGACCATCTACACAAGTGTACATGTCACTGGCACACAATTGCATACACCTGTCCTTGGTGCTGAACACACCATCTACACAAATATACATGCTAATGGCGAACAACACAATCTGTACACGCCTGTCCTTGGTGCTGAACACACCATCTACACAGGTGTACGTGTACAACCCACTGGCGCACAACACCATCTGTACACACCTGTCCTTGGTGCTGAACACGCCATCTCACTTCAGAACATGCTAGCTGTGGTGGTGTCCGCCCCCGATGAGTACATGAACAGCACCCAGGGCCTACTGGGGTACTGGGACGGGGACGAGACTAACGATTTCACCGCCTTTAACGGCAGCGTCCTGCACGTCAACTCCAGCGAGAGCGACATCTTCAAGTACTTCGGGCAGTCGTGTGAGTAAACCTGTTTGTTTAAATCAGTTTGAGTGAAAATTTAGCCTGGAGTCTCAGCCTTGTTAGCTTTAGTTCGCTGCTCAAGATCCGATAACCAGCTCTTGGTGAGCGGACTAAAGGCTGGACTTCAGGCTAGCTGCAGGGACACGGTTGTTTTAAACCACCACCGAGCGTGTATATGTGGCTACTGATTGTTGTTTACCGAATCATTACCCATTTACTAAAGCCAAATCACCACGTATACAAGTCTTAAAGCTATACTGCCGAGTAGAACAGTTGATGAAAAACCAACACTTTGAACTGTAGTTCAGTTGACGGAGGAAGACGGCAGGTTGAAGACCAGGTTCCACTATCTGGAGGGAGAGAGTCTGGAGTCCATGAGAGACACGTCCTTCTCCCCGGGCTTCACCGACGCGGTCACATTCGACGACCCGGTGCTAGAAGCAGAAGCAAGGCAAGCCCGTCAATGCTGCTGGTTTTGTTATCGTCAATTGTTAATAGCTAACGAGAAGCTTTGAAGTCGACATCAGTTGCACACCGTTAACTGATACTATTTATTATGTGACGGTAAATTTTTGGTAACGTACATGTACTTCATTGAATTTTGTATAGACGTATCATGCAGGTATAGAATTCACTGTTGCGTACAAGTTAGGCGCTAGCGCTGTTGAGTGCTGTATGGGTTTGCCAGGTTCTGTGTTGTATACTGGTTTAGTTAGACGTTTTCCGGGTACTGTGTTGTACAGGGCAATTTGCGGGGACGACCAGAACTGCCTGTTTGACATCAGCCAGACAGGAGACCCGAGTGTCGGAGAGACGACAAAGACACAGTCGGACACACTGACGGAAGAGAACAACCAGCTGGGTTAGTGACACAAACATACACATGTACATTGTACACAAAAAAACAAGCGTGCAAGCACACTAGGTCAGAAATAGCAGCCATGATGTTCTATTACATGTATTGCACAACAATTGAACATACTATGAGATCAACCTTACAAAGACTATAGGTAAGGGAGGAAAATGTGCTTTTCCAGTTAGTGGTTGAATTTCTAATGTTTAGGCATTTTTGAGATAGTACGTTACGTTACGTTGCGTTACGTTATGTTATGTTAGACTAATTTTGCGGCCTGGGGTTTCATGTTTCTCACACTCACACCTCCAGCGAACTTCCCGCCTGAAGTTGATGGTCCGGACGAGGTTAACGCCACCATGGGAGAAGTCGTCAACATCCGCATCAACGCCTCGGACGCCAACGGGGACGACATCACCTTCGACCTGGACGAGGGAGTCCCGGAGTTCGTCAGCATGGACGCCGATGGAGACTCCGCCAACATCACCTGGAACGTCACGTCCGGCGAGCAATTCGACTTGAAGGTAGCCACACGACTAGTGTCCTAAACTACACATGCGCACTCTCATATAGGGGAAACAGACAATAGGGAGGCACAGAACGGGAGAGAAAGGGAGAAGAGATAGAGGGAGAGAGAGAGAGAGGAGAGGGGAAGAAGAGAGAGGGAAGAGAGAGCGAGAGAGGGAGAAGAGAGATGGGGAAGAGAGGGGGGAAGAGAGAGAGTGAGAAGAGAGGGAGAGGGAGAAGAGAGGAGGGAAGAGAGAGATAGTGAGAAGAGAGTGAGAGGGAGAAGAGAGGAGGGAAGAGAGAGATAGTGAGAAGAGAGAGTGAGAGGGAGAAGAGAGAGGGGAGGGAGAGAGGGAGAGAGTAGAATACATTTTGCAATTGAAAGCATCATCAAAGTTAATTATTCCTTAGACCTTGTAAATCGTGGATATTCTTGGCTTGTACGCACGACGCCTCAAGGTGTCAATTGAGAAAACTATTACACATCATGCATACATCACAAGTGTCACGCCTGATAATGTAGGTCGGCCTTATCAAGTCAGCTAATTAGTAACTTGTTCTGAATAGAGAAACTGGCGAAGCGTTTCGAGTGACCTGATTAGCACAAAGAACGGACACTCCAGGGCACTTCTGCCGCAAAGAAAGATATAATTAACTTCGATGTCAGCCTTGTTAGTCTCTGTTGCTACCCCTCTTGGCATGGCAGGGTATCAATGAGTAGCAGCGGAAAAAGAAGTTTCACGCATTATCATGTTCACAGATTCTCGAGTTTCAATCATCATTGGGGTCTCCCTGTAGGTTATTCTGACCGACACAAACAACGGGTCCACCCAGTACTGGCCGACTGTGCGCGTCTGCGCATGCTACAACGGCGGGACGTGTGTGGACAGTGACGATGACGACGATACGTCATCTGACAACTCTACTGAAACAAGGTTAGTACAGCCTGTACTACAATTGTTCTCAATTCAATGAAATCTCATCACATGCATACTGTGGTAAATATATACATTTGCAATTGGTCCTGTTTGTTTTCTTTACACATGGCCGTTACAAGAACACGAAAAACACACAATCCCATTCAAGCAATCCAGTCAGTGATGCGTGGCTCTGCGTACATGTCCGACCTTCACCCACTGAGCATGAGTCTCATCGACCTAGATAGCCTCAAGGACTCTTCTGGTGAACCAATTAGCATCTTGGTCCATCTAAAAAAAACGTTTGTGTCTCTTCTGCCCACCCGTACGTGCCAATTGAGTGGGGGATCCGTAAGGTGTAGCTTGGCAAATGAATTATTTTGCAATCGGAAATAGAAAGTTCTGCTGAGTGGGTATGTCCGGGACAGCTGTGAAGAGCCCGGTCCCTGTGTTGTTACCTTAATTGGATATGGATCTGGAGAGCCTCAAGGACTCCCCCGGTCAACTAATCAGCATACTAATTGGTCCATCTCAAGGACGTTATTATATTTCACTCCATACACCATGGTTACATATGCTTTTATATTTCACATCATAATGCAGATATAGGAGGGAAATAGATCGTTATACATAAATTTCACTCCATAATGCAGGCATAGGAGGGAAACATATTGTTATATAAATTGATATATTTCACTCCATAATGCAGGTATAGGAGGGGAATATATTGTTTTATACCGTATTTCTTCTTCTTCCGCTATCAAAGATGAGGAATTTGAAGATCTGGTAAGTCTCATCACCTAAAGTATATGTCGTGTATATAGGTTCATCTTACAAGGCTGTACCTGTGATGAAGGTTACACGGGTGTCCAGTGTGAGAGTGACATTGATGCCTGCGAGGAAAACTCCCAACCCTGTTACGAAGGCGTCCGTTGTAGGGATTACCCAGCGCCTGCCAACATCTCCGGATACGAGTGTGGGCCCTGTCCCACTGGATTCACCGGAGATGGGGAGACATGCGAAGGTATTTTGATTTTTTTTTAAGTTTTTAATTTAGTGCGCCCTTTGCCATTAGCTTTTCATGGCAAGCTACTACTAGTTCACAGTACTAGTTTGTAAAGTTTCAAACGTCATCAAAAACAACGGTCGTTAAGGACTTATAATAGACTTACAACAGTACTGACTATTCTTGTTTCTATCAACTTTACTGCTGGAGTCTACAGAACAAATGCTTCTAGCAGCCTCCCAACTGGTCGTGTTCCTAGAGCCCTTGATAAGTGAGAGAGATACAGACTAGAGTCTACTTCTGTCAACTTAACAATTGCTTTCGACATTCAGGTGCATGAAAGACGTGAACTACTTCATCAATTTGATAAAGATTATCGAAAGGTTGATCTGTACATACTGCTGAAGACTGCACGGTTAGATCAGATTCTGTTCTTTGTTTGCTCACAGACATCAACGAGTGTAACACCACGGACAGCGACGTCCAGACATGCGCACAGATCTGTGTCAACTACCCGGGATCCTTCGCGTGTGACTGCCAGGCCGGCTACCAGTTAAACTCCGACGGGCTGAATTGTGACGGTAACTTTTACAGTTAGATCCTGACTCTCTGATGATAAACTTGCAGACATAGACATCTTTCACATAATGTGATCCAAGGCACCACACAGGCCATACAATCATCCGGTCGATTCTATCTCCGTGCAACTTTACAAAGTAAAGCATCAGAATGGCACCTCCTTTCCAACGTATAAGGCTTTGTCACAGCTGATATTTTGTTTTGTTGTTTGTTAAGAGTTAAAACACAAAAAGTTCTCTCACCTAGAGCTTTCGACCAGTCACTCTCACTGGTCTTCCTCAGTAGACTGACCCAGTGAGGCTTGTCAAGTGGCTACTGAGGAAGACCAGAGTGACTGGTCGAAAGCTCTATATACATGTAGGTTAGAGAACTTTTTGTGTTGGATCTCTGAATATGTAACTACCAACACAGATGAACTTTGATTCATGATTGTTTTGTTGTTGTTTAGATGTGAATGAGTGTGAACCTGCCCATGACTGTGGCCACCAGTGTCACAATGACATCGGCTCCTACCACTGCTCCTGTAACAGCGGCTTCGAGCTGGCCACTGACAACAAGACCTGCTCGCGTGAGTCGTCTTCGTTATTTCTTCAATAAAAACTGTAGATTATATTTCAGCAGAGTACGCGCGCGTGTGTGTGTGTGCGTGTGTGTGCAAGCGCGTGCGTGTGTGTATGTTCATGTTTAGAGTGTGACAAAATGGTAAAATTTTGTGGCCCCTGGTTGCTTTCCTATGTACTTAAGGGGAACGACTTCCAGTTTTGATATCGCGTGTTTCGGACATGCCATGGTCACGATTTTTCGGTGGTAGATAAAGGTGGCTCCTATGCTCAGCGAGCATTCCTCTGTCATTTTCCTATTGCTATACTATACAGTACAAATGTATTACTACTGTGTAACAACATTACATGGCATTGTCTGCTAGTTAGTTTTATGGTTGGTATGCAGTGGTAAAAGATAAAGTTTTGACATTTTTCTATGACTATTCCCGGCCAGCCATCAGCCAGTGCACGGCGGAGAGGGAGGCGGAGTGTGACGCGGTGAACGGAGGCTGCTACGCCGAGTGGGGAACGCAAACCTGCTACTGCAACAAAGGTTACACACTCAACGGGGACGACTGTGAGGGTGAGTTAAGGCTATCTCTAATAATGTATTATCTAATTCACGCAAAGGCTACCGTGTCAACTGTGACCCTCACTCAGGTGTAGGGACTGACACGGTCATCCAACACGGAAAATCTGTATCTGTATCTGATTGCAATTATTGCAAATTAAGATATCAAGTGATTGCCTGATAGAGATAGAGATAGAGAATTGCATTGCATAAATGCTTTATGTACTGGCCTGCCCCTCTCTCGTTATTCTCCTAGTTCAGTAGCTTCCCAATATTTAACTTCAAACTAGTGTTACAGTAACAATTCCTCAACCGGCTGAAAAAATGTATCCATTAGCTTGTCAATGAATTACTGTTACCTCAGTACATTACCTGGATGTCTAACTTTCATGGAAGTTCACTTCAAACTGCTCCTCCTTTTCCGTGTTACAGACGTAGATGAGTGTAGCAGTGGGGAGAACCGGTGTAACCAGGAGTGTGTGAACACCATAGGCGGGTACAACTGCAGCTGTGAGGACGGATACAGGACGGACGATTCAGACCCTTACACCTGCCAAGGTAAGGGGAACATCGGCTCCCATCTGATCCCGTCAAAATGTTTGCGACCAGACTGTTTTCAAGGATCTACGTGGAACGTTGTCACTCATATCTAAACTTTTGCCTACACACTACAGATATTGACGAGTGCTTCGAAGACGACTACAACTGTACGGACACCCAGCTGTGTGTCAACAGGCCGGGTGACTACGCGTGCGCCTGTCTGCCGGGTTTGGTCGAAGTTGACGGTGACTGTACTGGTAAGACAACAAGGAAAACATTAACAACCATGTTAAGTTTACTTCTGATTTTGGACTTGGTAAGCCTCTATGACCTTGTAGCAATGCAAAATACTTTATAGTTGAAGTGAGCTATCTGTTTGATGATTATTCAAATCATCGTTCTAATAGCCTCTCCCCAGATTGTTTAGGTAGAAGTTTCAGTCATGATACTTTAGTAGACAAATGAACAAATGACCCATTGTGTCAGAAGGAGACATGTTTTATATTAATTTTCTTAATAATTTTCTTAATAACTTTTTTTGTATTCAGACTTACCTGACGATGAGAAACCAGTGATGGCGTCCAATCGGGTTCCCACCAGCGATGAGAAGAAAGGAGCTGTAGTCTTTACTGCTGATATGGCCGTCAGTCAAGTATGTGGATGGTCATTCTTTAACATGTACATTTCCATTCTATTTACATGTTTTATTGCAAATCCGATCAGTCATATGTTGGGCATCTACTCAAGTTGTCATTGCACATTATTCGTTTTGAGGAGAATTTTCAGTTGAATTTAATCGCATTTTGTATTAACGTGCAAATGCATTTGTCATTTAAATCACTTGATACTTTATTGTGTGTAGTACACGGTGTCTAGAGACCTGGCATTCTCCAAGGCCGTTGCCATTGCTGCGACCAGCCACTGTAGCAGCCACGCTGCCGAGTGTGGTCTGAGGACGGACTCCTCTCGTCGAAGGTACTCTTGCACCTTTGGTCACTACGTTTCTATTTTTCTTTAAATTATTCATCGTTGGAGATTCGAGGGGATAAGGATACAAAACAGACTGAATTTTGGTTGTCAAAAAATATACCGACCACAATTCTGGAAGTGAATAATGTACCAAAATTTAATTTTTCATTTCTGGATCCCTGAGAGTTTGCCGCTCCCGAAGAGGCAAACTGTTATCTCCAGCCAACCAAACTCAGTGGGCATGCTATTTTTCTATTTCGCCGATTTCTACTCTTTCCAGCCACCTCCCGAAGCCTGGTAGAGGCTACCGAAGCCTGGTAGAGGCTAATATGTAGTATCAACGACAATTACTATGTATGAAACGACGTCGTCGATTAACTTCATCTTAAAATGGAAATATTTCTAACAAGGAACTTTCTTGATGACAGATTCTGCATAAAGATTTTGATTAGAACTTGTAACTGTTTTTCTACAGACGAGAGACAGTGGATGTGGAGTTTACCGAGCTGAACGTTCTGCGGCTCCCAAACTACCCGGTAGAGCTGAGTTCCTCCAGTATCCAGCTGGCCCTGTACGTCCTGCTGCCGGACAGTCTCAGAGCCGACAACACCACCATGGTCATACCTGGTCAGGAACTCATCACTATCATCGAAAATTCCATCCAGGTACTAAAATTTCTTCTCATCCAAGGACTTTTTGAGCTCAGGCACGGCAAGCAGGGCTATATGAATGGCCTCTGCGCAGGCATTGATTTTTGCCTGATTGAAAATTGAACATCGTCAAGAAACTACCGAAAATGGGTGTAAAATTAGTATTTGTAAAAGTGGGCTAGTGTGGTGGCCTCAAGTCTATTTGTAGGCCAAAAATTGTCAACATGACATTGGTCAACAATGGTCAACATGACATTGTCAAGAAAATGAGGGTAAAATTCTAGAATGTGTACAAGTGACGCTAGTGTGTTGGACTCAAGTGTGTTAATTTTTGTAGACCTTTGGTGACAGCAGACTCATGTGGTGGCCCTGGGTGTATTTGCAAAAATGCACGGAGCGCATCAAATCCAAACAACCGCATTAATTGTTATCAACCGAAAACCCCCGCTGTACCACCTGTCGATCCAATTTAGATCGCTTGCACAATAGCAGAGGTACTTGAAAAAAAAAACACGGCATGATTGATACGCACAATAATTGCCCCACTCCTGCGCTTCATTACCATCGTTTCTGACGAATAATAAGGCATCGGTGGCCTCAATCTGTCAATCTCCCGAGCTGTGACAAGTTCTTTATTATAGGTATAAGAGGTTGGGTCAATGAACTTTTCTACTTAACATTTCTGTTCAACCATCAGTGTTTTTTTTCCCTCCGACCGTCACTTATCATGAATGAAATCCTGGCCTAAGACTAAGTCAGGATTGATGAATATAAATGCACGTTGCACCGAAAATATAAACTCATCGATCATTATATAATTATGTATATATTATATCTATATTTGCTTTCTAGTTTTGCTATATGATCTGTGTCAGTGTTATGTAACGTGTGTGCTGTACAACTATTCTTTGCAGGACCTGTCTACTGCCCTTGGAGGAGTCAGCATCACAGACCTGTACCTGCTGATCCTCCCCACCACCCCCCTCCCAACAACCACTGTGAGAGCCACCGCTGCACAGGGAGACAACACCGCCGCCATCGCGGGTGGAATCGTCGCTGGACTGGTTATCCTGGCCGTCATCGTCGTCGTCATCGTTGTTCTCAAGTAATGTCGTTTGAATGTTCTTTTACATTGTAATTTTTACACATATTACGGTACGTATACGCTTATAACAATCACTGTTTCTTTATGTTATGGGATAATAAAATGATTAATATCAGCACAGAATTGTTTTGAGATACCTTACGTATTTTTGTGACGTTTTGATAAAGACTCCCTGTATATGAGGCCTTAAAAGGCCGTATCGTCAGACTATAGCGAATACTTGCCAGTCCACTGAACAGGAGTTAGTAGTTTTGGGGACACAATATTGTACGTGGAATGTCAATGCTTTTAGATGATTGATGCTAAATCATTTGGCTCCTCCTCTTTGTGTGGACGCCCTGTGCATGTGTCACATATAGTACGCGAGGAACTGAAGTCTAGGGTATCATGGTCTTGCACTAGCCTGGGGTCTAGCCTTGTTGGGAACATTTCCCAAGATCCGCTACCCCTCCAACAAGGATAACGGATCTTGGGAAGCAGACCAAAGCTAACAAGGCTGGACTCTAGGCTAGGGTTGTGCCACAGTCCTTCACAAATTTGAGTTTTTTTCAGTCCTTCACAAATTTGTCTGTTTTTTATTCTAACAGGAAGAAGAAGGCGAGGATGACAAAGGTGTCTGACAGTCAGACGTTGGAGCTGGCTTATGCTCCGTCCTCCAGTAGCCGGAAGACAGGCGAGGAGGAGGCACCAGGCGAGGAGGAGGCGCTGACCAAGATACAGTCACCGTTTTAGTATAGATGATGATGGCCTTCCGCTATTTCCTGTTTGTATTATTTGATTACCTTCCCCAATTTGATGTACATATGCAAAGTGAGTGTGGGAAATTATGACGTGCAGTTGATTTGTGTCTTTTTATTACATTTTCATATTACGCCGAAGTTGTTGGTCGGATACATGTTAGCTCAAATTCTGGTTAATTCTGTCGATACGGAAAATTTTCTTTGGTGGGTTCGTTTTTCTGTAAAAAAAAATCTATTGCATTGTTTTATTATGTGTTTAATCAATAGATGTAACGTGTGTGTTTCGCGTATTCCGTAACAATAATGTATAGTGAATGTGACATATATTTGACTGTTGAGATTTGTCAATTGTTGCAAAATTGGAGATTTGTAAACGATGAGTGTAACTTAGCTGATGCCGTCCGTACAGTTTCAAGTTCCTGTCGAGTATGACAGAGCGAAGCTCTTCTACTCTTCTACAAACATATTAAGGCTATCAGAGGGATAGGGACGTTATATATACTGAATAAACAGACTCCTTTTTCACAACCAAGTATTTTATTCAGCCGACGTTTCGTCGTTATCCTGTTATCCAAGATATTCAATATCAGTGTCGGGTACGGATTAGGCAATTAATCTTTCAAAATGGGGACCATACTGAACTGCCAATCATGCGGGCCAACACTTCATAGAATTCATGGACTACTCATTCCAAGATACAAACGAGACATTGATACAGGTCTGTCAACTGATGTTTAGATATCACAGCAAAAAAAAGTGCACCGACATCATGCAAAAATACGACGATCTATATAAACAACTTTCAATGAAGAGCAACCACTATATGAGTAAGATAGTGATACAATAATACAATATACATAACTGAGAACATAATGTCACCACACCTACATCAAGGCATGAGAACGAGCATGATCGTGCACGCCTGCGCTACTGCTACACATGAAGAAATTGCACTGCGCATACTACTCTCCAAGCACAGGTTGGGGGGAATGATCGTTAGCGTTTTATATATATGGCCGTTTTTGTGGTTTTTTTTGTCGCTACCCCCACCCCGTCGGTGGCCGGCGCCCTTCTCTGGCTAATGGATACTGTCAGTTGCCACCGAAAGGGATCTGCTTGGCCGGATTGTCGGTGGCCGGCGCCCTTCGCTGGCTAATGGATACCGTCTTACCACCGAAAGGAATCTGCTTGGAGATTATGCGCATACTACGCTATCATGCTTTGTACTCCGAGTTCTGATACTGACATCGGCTAACACAAAACCCCTCAGATTTCCTGACAGTTCAGATATCAAGGTTATCTTAATAACAAACTTAACAACTAGGACAATAATCATATATTCTGCTCTTGTGACAAGATGGATGATATCTTAAGAATTGAAGTAGCTGAAGGAGAAATACTTAGTATTCCTCCTAATTTCAAACAGTGAAATATCAATATTCACCATTTAGAAATGTCCAACCTGCCTGACATTTACGGCTATAGATCACATTCAACATTTTGGAACAATCTCTGACGTCCAATATGAATTATTAACCTGTTGTACACGGCCACATCTCTTTAAGATAAACTGCACAAAACAGTAATCGTAGCTGGCCAAAAAAAGATCAGTTTACCTTCAAGTTGATTTACATTGAAGATTCAATAGCATGCATTTTCACCGACTTTGTTGAGGCTACAAAGAGCACGTCTAGAGAGTCCAAGTTCCGTGCGTTTCTCAAATCGCCTGTGGGCGCCCTCTGTCTGCCTGCCCGTGCGGCGGCAGACCGACTGTCGGTGCGCGTGCTCGGTCCTGCAGCGTCCGTCGCGCGGACACCTCCGACGATGTGAATGTTGGTGACGTGATCTGACGACCGCCCGAACTTCTCGCGAACCGCGTTGGCACATCGCCTGGCCCTCCGGCGCACGACCTCGCGAATCTTCTCCAGCCGGAACGCGTAGATGATCGGGTTGGTCACCGAGCCGCAGAGCGCGATAAGCATCCCCCAGTACGGCTTTGCCTCTAGCGTACAGCCCTCCCGTGCGATGCACGAAATCTGCCGGACACCCCCGATGCAGATCGGCAGCCAGATGATGACGAACACCACTGCGATCATCACGACGGTCACGGACTTCTTCAAGCTGTTGTTGAGCTGCCGGCGGTGTCTGACGGCGACTCGCTGTTCTCTGCGCCGCGCGGCGGGCAGGTCGTCCCGGGGAGCCTCCAGCGGACTGGTCCTGGAGAACCGCTTCTTCAGCACGAGCAGGATTCTAGCGTTGACGAAGACAACGAACAACACGGCCGTGAACAAGACGGTGTTGATCAGAATCAGGTACCCCACCGGCACGTATTTTGTACAGTTCTCTGATGTCATGTTGAAGCAGTTCCAGCCCATGAGGGGTGACAGGCAGACGAGAGCACATGCCGGCCACGCTATCCCCAAACTCACGGCCACGTGTCTGCCGGACAACCTGCTCTGGTAGACGATCGGGTGGAGGATGGCCAGGTAGCGATCCACGGACAGGAGGACCACGCCAACTGCCGACAGGACCAGCACGAAGAAGAAGAGGCAGAAGACACCCACCAGTGCCAGATATGGCGGGAGTTCCCGTTGAAGAACACCGCAGATGAAGAACGAGAACAAGCCGGCCACACAGTCCGCCGCCGCCAGGTTTGCCACGAACAGGTACATGGGTTTCGTCAGGTGTTGGCTTCTCAGGATGCAGTACAACACCAACACGTTCATGGGGAGACTGACTGTCCCCACAACGGCGGCGGCGATGCCGACTTTTCTGTTCTCCTCCAGGAACGGGGTGGGGAGGTGAGAACACGCGGCTACTGCCAGGTCGTAGTCGATCTCTTTCTCCAGGTGCCAGCGGACACACGGCCAGAACAGCCCGTGCGCGGTCGAGTTTCCCCCGGTCAGATTAGCCATGCTTCCGTTCATGTTGGAAACAAAACCGTTCCCGGTCTTTGAAAATTCTACAAAGTGGTTTCCCACCTTCTTACTGTCTACCCAGGCGAGAGGCTGTTTGATACCTTCTCGCCACACAGGGTATATAACAATGTTAGCTACGCAGGTGTTGCCACAGCTTCGCCCACGCACGGCTTGCCATGGCAACAAACATACTCAACATTTTTAATACAAAATGGAAAATTGAATGTCCTGCAGAGATACCGTGATTCATAGTATCAAGTCATTAAGTGCGTTCTTCCCAAAAGGGGGATGGAAAGGTTCTTTGAAATTAGCTCTTTTATGGCACGAGATTCGACACAGCAGGCAAATGATACCCCGTCACAATTAACCAAGATTCGATCTTAACCAAGATAGCTATTAGCTAGCTGGGCAACATTGGCTATATGTACACCAGTCAAATAAAAAAAATAGATATATCCAAGAATGTATTGTGGAAAAAATCTTTATAACAGTGATCTTATTTTGGCTCGGTGTTGAGAGGTTTCCTCTCCTATTAGTCACTTAATTAATCAAACTTACAATATGCAAAGCAGATTTTCCGTAGCACCATCCGTTCTATTCATATAGCTTGATTTACTAAAAAAGATCTTGTTACCTCCATGCTTTTATGAACTGCCCATTGCTCGTGAACATTCATTGTACATAACAAGACGGCATAGATAAAGAAATGATTTTTGAAACGTATTCGCCTAGGACTATTTGCGTGTTGTATTATCACGACAATATTTCAGACTATTTACATGACTAATTATATAAAGGGATTGCCCTCAAATCAAATGAGTGATCCTTTTAATAGACAAAGATATCGAGACTATCCGAATGTAATGTACAAAAGTGTGTAACGTTTAAATAGCATCATTCAACCTTCTACCATTCGTGGTACGCTTTCATATCCTAAACCCCGTACACTAAGTCACTTATGCAACATACAGAGTGGTGATGTTCGCAGATTATAATACATGTATAAATAAGTGTCCGGTTTCTACGATTATGATACCATAAAGAGCTTTACAAAAACTACAGTTATTATGCATTTTCCAATTCCTGCCGATTCCTTTACGTTGCTCGATGTTTGATCAGCAGTAGATGTAGATTTTTGACGTCGCACGGATCGACCAGTTCGTCCCATCTGGGCAGGACTCTCCAGTCGACCTCGTTCCACTCCAGACTGCAGCGTTTGGCGGCCTGGTAGATCTCCCATTCGAAGTTGTGCGCCTTCTTCCGCGTCCGGTCCTTGTACGCCAGGACAAACACTGCCGAGGGCTGAAAAACAGTTCCGTGGATTGTTTTCTTCTTGTTGTTTCTTTTTTTGTATGTTCATTTATCTGCCCATCTATCTATCTATTTCAATTAAAATACGTTCAGACCATTCCTTGAAAGACAACCCAATAGATCTAGAAGAGAGGAGGATATGTAAGTAATGGCGTGGATATGTGAGAATGATTTTCACACACAGCAAAAGAGTTATATGCCGAGATTTCTTGGCTAAAGACCTACTTGATGCTGATAAGGAAAAAATGTCTAATGTCCAGACAAAAATAGACCTGCACCTGCTCATTTACGGAAGGAATTCATGTTTGAATTTTTGATTCACGGCAGAATGTCTGACTCTGATGCTCTTCAAATATATATTTTACTTACAAAAAACAGACACGTAGGCGCAGAGGAAATTCACAAATTTGGAATATTCCTCACACGACTTTAACCCACCAATATGGCGGACGCTAAATCACGTGATCACGGGTTTGAATACTAATACCTTCTCGGCCAGCAGCTCCTTCGCCGTCTCCACCAGGAGGGGGATGTCCGGACGGAAGTACGCCAGGTCAGCGCCCAGGATGACGTCAAACCGCCCGTGTCTCTCTCGGAAGGATGTGACGTCATCACCCCACTGGAGGTGAGCACAGTGGAACCGATCTAGAAGAAGAGACAGGGATGATAAAAAAAACCTCTACTTGAACTCTTGTAGAAATATCCCTTTCCTGCTAGAAGATTTCCAGAATTATCACCATCTCCATGTGGATGCAGCTTTTGGAACCTTAGCCTTAGACGAACAATGTCGACGCAGTCGACGACACTAACCGGAAGACGTACATTAATTTTATCACGACAGCTACGGTATATGACGAAGCTCCTTGGGTATTTATAGCCTCTACTTGGCCTCGAGAGGCGGCTGGAAAGAGTAGAAATCGGCCAAATAGAGAGAATGCATGCTAGGGGGAGTTGGTCTGCTGGAGAGAACAGTTTGTCGCTAAACTGTTACTCTCTATTTGGCCGATTTCTACTCTTTCCAGCCGCCTCCCGAAGCCTGGTAGAGGCTAGGTATTTACAGACCTCTCTCTTTTGGGAAGTTCTTGTCGATGTTCTTCCTCAGCAGCTTCAGCACGATTTCCTTGTTGTCGGACATGACGACTTTGTCAGCCTTCCTGCAGACCTGAGCGGCGGCCAGGCCGGGCAGCCCGGGACCCGCTCCCAGCTCCAACACCGAGCCCGCGAAGTCCACCACATCGGGATGCTCTGCGAGATACAGTGTCAACACCTAGATGTGTGCAGGGGAAAGACACTTTTGTTACTGACTGATCTTTCAAAAGAACTATAGCCTCCATATCATGCCAAAAACTTGAGGTTTGGGGGGTATTCAGGGTCTTTGGGAGCTTTTATGTGCTATTTTCTGATTACATATAGACAACATAGCCGACCTGGTTTTTAGAACTGGGCTAATCAGAAAACAGCCGAAGACCACCAAACCCCCAGTTCTATAAGCCTGCTACGGAGGCTACAAAACAACCAGCATATGGCGCTAATGTAATGTGCTATCCATACAAAACTTACGCCATCGTAAAGACATCCCCGACAGGAATCCAGCAGGAAACGGGCATCTGAAATAAAATTCTCCCATGTCCATGATCATGCACAGGCAGGCCCCATATCTACCCACGTCACTTGTCGTCAGTAGGCAGCTATTCCACGTGACTCTTCTCCACAACTAGCCTACAAATAGAGTCATAATATTCTAACACAAGATTCTAAATCTGGAATCTCATCATCTCAATCAAAAGTGCCCTTAATTACATCAAGGTTTGATATCTCCCTGATTATTGAATTTGCATGTGCTATGAAGATGCTTCTGATATTAATCCCCTATATATATCGCCCGTAGATACAAGAGTGCCTTTCGCATGCAGAGGGTACAGATGCACGCTCACACGAAGGTCCCTATACTACCCGACCACCCACACGACGATCTGTTGCCAAGTTTCCAATTATAATAGTTCAGATGTTTCCAAGTCTTGTTTCAGTCAACCTACCCCCTGGTACCTAGCCCACCGAAGTAGACGACTACGCGTCTCTGGTAAACCAAAACCGTTTCTGTCTGCACTTTATTTATGACTTCATTCAGCTTTTTAGCAGTTAACAAAATTTTGCCAGCGTTGTAAATTTGACACAAAAGGAAAATAAGGCGTCATGTCATTCTAACTTCTAATTCCTTCTTCTAGTTCGTCGGTTTTGGTTCTTTTCCCATCTTCGCGTTTTCCTTCATTCGTAGCCAAGATACAATTTTGGCGACATTGAAACACGCCATGTCCACGTGACTGTCATTATTGGCCATCAAAGTTCTCGGTTATCACTGATTATACAACAGACTCCGGTGACAAAAAAAAACTTTTTTTATTTAATTGATTTTTTTGTTTTGCAGACAGGAAAATTGAAAAGCGACAGTCCCAAAGACGCGTACCGGCGCCTACCTGGGTAGGTTACGGTTTATAGATACCTTGGCGGCGGACCAAATCCTTTGTCCTGTCAGTATATGGTGGGCTGCGAAATGAGAGGTCGAGAACGATACAGAGGTTATCTCTCGAGCCACACGTCTGTTTTCCACGTGACTTTCCTGAACCATCCCAACCTTCAAGTGCTGAGGACCAAATTGTGAGCATATTGTTCCTTTTTTTGTGGTCTAAAATGGGCCCATAGATCTTGGAGATCGGGGTGGCTGACAAAAGACAACAAGAACAGACACGAATACATCATGACGTTCTTTTCAGGGCCGTCTTCACTCACTCGGGTCCGTACAGCACACTTTACTACCCCTGACAATTCAGTCAGTCTCCGGTAACTCTCAGCCAATCAGGGTTCCGCGAAATCGGTACCGTGGGCGTTGATTGGCTGAAAACTAGGTGGCACCAAATAAGGAATAAGACGTGGATATTCACTGCCTCAAGCTGGTTTGTTGGCTGGTAACTAGGTCGACGTCGTTCCAAATATGGACTTTCAAAAAGTCCGGCCGGGCTGACTTGTCAGGGTGGGTACAGTGTGATGTGCAGACCTTACTGGGTGAGGAAATTTCAACCATGTTGTGAAATTTACGGTTGACAGAGACCGACGTGGACAGCATGCGTGGACCAGGGACATCAGAGACCTGCGGACTCTCTCTTTACTACTTGTATGATACCCTGCAGATTTTCTACTGTACTGAAAATTCATTCCATGATCCTGGCTTGTGTGGAAACATGCACATGTACACACTAGACGTAACACACGACGCACATGCCTAAATCTTACAACATTCTTCCTTGCTCTGAATTCCTTGTATGTACAAGACACCATTGCCCTCAACAAGTGTAACGTTACATTTAAGTACATGGTACTATATCAGATGGAAACATGCATACTGGTTGATGAAAATGTCTTATCAGTCTAGCTTGCCAGTGGATGGCTATCTCATGGTAGTGCTTATTAGTCCCTAGCCTCAGTTGTTAAAGTATGGTCAACTGTATTACATGTACATGTACATGTATAAGCATACTGTGGCAACTACTACTAGTATACTCTACTATGTCTACTAGAGTCTACATGACTATGTGGACTCACACTTACACAGGATGTCGTAGTAGTAGGTCAACGTAGGTCAAAGCTAGATTGTTTACTAACACAGACAAACATATACTACATAACGACAAACATATTCTGACACAACAATCCACAATCAACATACAAGTATTTCTAGTATGATCTGACGCTACATTGATGGTTAATTGTGGTTCATATTTTCTATTTTCCACGGTGAAGGTCTACACGTGTATGTGCTCTATATATAGTCTGAATCCATATAATTGTTATTTAAAAAGATCAGACGAAAGTGCTCTATGCTATACTTATCATGTGGTGTATTCGTGAGCTAACAATACAAATTCATCATAAAGCCTTGGATTGACAAACGGGTATGAAGTATGGCATAATGGCTTACTAAAATAGCGGACTTCCCTTAAAGTTTGGAGGAGGTCTCACAATGGCCTCAAGCAACACAAATAACAAACAAAATATGCTATGTTTCTAGTTTCTACTATGACCACAGGCGCTAGGCCACCGAGTTTTTGTTGAGATCTACACAATACATGTAACGTTACATTGTTTTGTAAACCATTAAATAAAATCCTTATTATTGTTTCGCACATGTTAGAACATACACTGTGTCTACTCATTCAGCCCGTTGCCATCACAATACAGTGGTCCGTTGAAATATTCCCAAAAATCATACAGTCACATAACACCGTGAACACGGCCTGTTGAAAGGTTCCCTAGAATCATACGTACACTGAACACGGTCACAAACTGATGAGGATTCCAAAGAACCATACGAACAGATACCGAAGTCTCCCGAAGATTGCCGAGAGCCGAACAGCGACTTCCGAACGCTTCATCTTGGTTAGGTACTTAGTACTAGTATACACAGTATACTACATAACGACAAGTTATCACCGCTAGCGCTAGCACCGGCTTGGGGTTCTATCGAGTCGAGCAGCGGTTTTCCGAACGCATTCGAGTTTGCGAAACCTGTTCTATTCCCGTCGGCCTTTGCGCTACCCTGAACGCCAATGTAACAGCTGAGTAATGAGTGTGCTTTTTATTGTATGATTCAGCGGACCAAGTACCCAGCAGTATGTATTATATATGTATGGTTCATTGTACAGGGAAATTTTTCAACGGACCGTGTTCACGGTGTTATGCGATGAGTGTATGATTCTCGGGAATCTTTCGACGGACAGTGTTCACGGTGTTATGTGTTGAGTTCATGACTCTTCGGATCCTTTCAACGGACCGTGTTCATAGTGTTTGTGTTCAGTGTATGATTATCGGGAATCTTAAGCTTGTACGGAGTGCACAGTATACGAGTGTTCATAAAACAAAGCAACAGCGATCTCAACAAAAACTCGGTGGCCTATCGCCCATGCTATGACAGATATTACGACAGTGGACAATACAAAGCAGACATTTCATAATCAAGGCAACATTTCTAAGAGCATACATTGTAATGCATAGAGTATAATGCATAAATCACACAGCTTTCTATATAAATAAAAAAATAATGTAAAAAAATGTAGTCACATACGTCGTACGATTTGTAAGTCCAAGAATTTTCAGAAAGCCTATAACATAACCAACCATCGCAAGGACCTACAACCTTTTCTGTATGAAATGCCAGCAGAACTTTGCACGGCATAGTTTGACGACTATTTGCAAAGGTTAGGATGACCCCAATGTGGGGTAAATATGTCACACAACGTATGTGATATATATAAGAGTCATGCAGAGGAACTTTGGGCCAGGGCAATGTATATATATTTAGCATGCATGGGTATGATCACGGCTTACCTTCTTCGATGTTCAGCTCATGGACAGCTTGTATCTTCAGGTGGACATCCCGGACAGCTATTTCTTCCACTGTGTATCTGTCAAAGAATCAAATGGTAGAAAATGTACTGCTGTGCCTGGCCTGGTCCAACCCCATTTCATCTACGTTGCAGACCGGCTAACAACGTGAGGGAGTCGCTGAGTTGGTCCTTGCTCTATCTGACCTATGACGAGCTAGCCCGGTATTATCGTGTATACTACTAGTATGATCAGTTATAGTTTAGAGGAGTATACGATGATGTGTAATATTCTAAAACCAAACATTACAACATGTTTATCCTAAAATGATTGACAGTACATCCATGATAATCGTTTAGAGGACAATGAGTTATAGAACAGTTTTCCAATAACGGCTAGAGGAAGAGGACAATTAGGCAAAAAGGAAAGCAGAGGAGATGAACAATGCTTTTGGGGATAAAGATAAACTAAACGTCAAAATGTGATTCATGGCGGCCATTTTGTGTATCCACTTGGGACTATAAATAAGAGTCATGTAACTCGATATCGGCCAGATATCTCTCACCCGGCAGCAATATGCATGAAATATCATATTCCAAATTATATTACGACTTCGTTATGATAGCAAAAGGCCGTAATGGCACATCGGTGTACCTCTGAAAAAGATGATTTTCGGCTTGTACTGTCGGACAGGCTGCATGATACACGGACATGGTCGGAGAAAATCACGGTGATCAGGCTAGTGTATCTCCGAGGACTGCCGAGAATGTTAACCACGAATTCCTTCGCCCAAAAGAGCAAGAAAGGGCAGTTGCCCCACCGTGCGTTTCCAAATCAAGAAATAGCCTTCCCGGTAAATTTTCTTTGGATTCGTGCCTTGTCGAAGTAAAGGCCATGTTCATGTATAACATGATCTTTCAGACCAGCACGAGAGCGGGATAGTTTGCCTTCGTTGTTATGTACAAGGCCGTGATGAGTACTCTCGTCTCACCACAAGAACCACACTGCGAGATGACTGTTGTTTTCATGCGAGCACTTAATTCCCGTAAGGCAGTCGGGGGATCACTTTGCTGACATAAACCTAGCCTGGGGGCCAAGATGGCCATACTGTGCTGTCTAAGCCGACCATTTTGGAAACAACTGCATGTTACTAATTACAAAAGGCATGCACCGGACCCACTCTCTTCTACCATTGAGAAAAGAAAATAGATTGACTTTGAATATAACTAATTATATTAAGTTCTAAAAGGCAAAGACTACGAACGTTTCGTATTTCAGCTTTCTCTGTTAAAGAAAAAAAATAACAGTTATATTCATGATAGCCAGATCAGAGTGTAGACGTTGAACTTGTATTACCTTTGTAACCCAATCTTTCCCAGGTTGGAGGTCCAAGGATCTTTTGTGCTCGTCTTCTTGTCATCTTTAGCCGTCATGTTTGCCAGAAGAACCGTTTCCTGTAGACGACTCGATGTGTCACTCGATGGGATTGGCGGTGAACAGAAGTGTGTGAAACACCTTCGGTGTCACCTCGAGTACCTGTCTGTCTTCAAAAACACCAGAACAACAGTCACGGCGGAAGCATGTTCCGTATAGAATCTAAGATGTCACGGAGAAACCGCTCCTCTTGGTTCTTGAGATAACTTCCTTGAGAAAGCCTTCTGCACGACTTGTTTGACCACTGGGTTCCTCCAGTGTACTATATAGATAACCGCCAAGACTGTGAGGTCTGTTTTTATTTGAGGCTCGAATTTCAGGGATGTCAGCTATGCCGGTGGGTTAGCTACAGCGCCACGGCAGCGGACATACTGTAAACCCCATCGGCACGTCTGTGTTCCCGGGCCACTTTGCTCAGTCAGATTCAGGTGATCACGTGAAGATGCCTTGGCATGTTTGGAAACTTGTAGAGGGTGATGTTTGGAATAGTGTCACAGTCATCACACTGAATGCTTCGAATGGTAGGGACTACAGTTCTACGTGGAATGCTTTCCTGTGTAATAGGGAAGTACACACGGTAAAGAACCTGCCACACTTTTGCTCAATTCTCTAAGCCTAAAAGCCTTGGCATTAACTTGGCTCATTAGGGTGTCTGGCTCTCTCCGTATGTGGTCATGTATGTTCAAACAGTTTCTCCATCGTCAGACCATAGTTTAGTAGCAAAGCCAGGAGAGATTTGCAAGATTACAGGGAAGTTCCTGTACTGAGAGACCCAAACAAACAGAGATGGCAGACTCTACCCCCTTACCCAGACTGCTTTACGACCTTTCCAGTTCTACAGACATATATAGCCGCTCTGAGGAGGTGCTGCAACGATTCATTACCATTGGTGTATACTGAGAATAACGAAAACACACACACTATATCTATCTATGGCAATTACTATCTTTATTTACACAGATTCATGTACAGATACAGATTCAAGTACAGATACAGATACTTGTACTGATACAAAGATTTTCCGAGTATGATGACACACACTCACACACATTCAAACAGACATAGAATCCGAGCCCCCAAGGCAAAAAGTCAGAAGTCCCAAATTCGTATTGCTTACCATAAGACCACAGCACGTTATATAACACTAGCGGGACCATGACCTGAAACTTGATAACTGTGACTGGGACTGCCACATGGCCTTAATGGCCGAGGATTACGGGCGACTTCATGTCCATTATCACAGACGGTTAACTTGTTGTTCTTGTGCGGATCAGTATTTCAGTCATTCATGGCCCTCGATGAATATCTGCCAACTTCTCTTGTGAAGTGCCGCGTGGTTCCAACATGGCTTGGATTGGTTGAAATGTTTCTTATGCCGTTCCATATTCATCCCAAAGTGTGTGTGTGTGTGTGTGTGTGTGGTTTATTATTAGCACGATAACGAAGAAGCGTTGGACGGATTGTCATGAAACTTGGTAGGTGGGTAGGTGTTGAGGAGAGCTAGAAATGATTACATTTTCAGTCCCCAGCTGGCTCTTGTTGATGTGGAGCCGAATGAAGACGTCTGATACGATATGTAAATGTAATGTATTGTGAATTGCCAATGCGGTTTTATAGATATCTTAACATACACACTGGTCGACAGGCTCTTTATCATGCACACGAGACAAAAATCGAACTATGTTTTTGCTCTGTTTCTTCTTCCTCATCTTCTTCTCCAAAAACATATAAGGTCAATGACCTAAACCAGACGTCTGTCACCATGGTAACTGGTGTTGGGTTACATCATGTTGCAGTTTTATAGCAGGAGGGATTTAGACTCTTGTCACCGTGTATATGAATGTGTTTCCGTAAGAATTACCAGAGTAGACCATATGCGAAGGTTTAACATTAAATATGCATTTGCTTTGCAAATGTTACCTTTCTTGTTTATACGATTGAGTTCGCACGGTTAGAGTGCACAGATATGACAGATTCTGTCATGCCTACACTAAAGCTGTCTGTAGACGTGGGGAATGTCGCTCGGATACCCCTGAAGGTACCCGGATGTGTTTCAGATGTAGATGACGTCAGACAGTAGAGATAAGAAATGTCTAGAGAGAACATCTGTGAAAGTGATGACAAACAGGCCGACATGACACAGTTTTCGCCCTATGGCATATGACATGGGGATTTCTATAGTTAACTTATAATAAGGACCCCAAGATAACTCAATTCGACGCGGTAAAAATTATAGTAGGGTGCACTTCACAAATACGAAAATCGAATATGTTTGAGAAGAAGGTACAAACTACAAAATATCGAGAAACCAAAAAAAAAATCCTGTCGGCGTATCTGCTCGTAACGTACACTTTGAAATTGCCCTCTACGGAAGTGACCTGAACTGCAGCCGACTCACCCGGAAAGCCAGTTGCGTAATACGGCGCATTTATACAGAAATGCAAAACCTTCACAATTCAAATCGTACAGTCTCAAACCCGATACATTCCTACACCGCACAGCACAATTTACATCAGGCTTTCTGCCCAGCCTTCAAGAATATTCGCTGTACTACTTTCTATACCCGCGTCATAGACCCGGGGTCGCCCATTAATACTGTACATGTGTGCGGGAATAAACTAGATAGTGGAACTAGGCGGGCGGAAACTCTGTTTCATAGATAGACTTTCAAGGTGTAGAATCTAATAAACCTAGCCTGGGTCCCCCCCCCCCCCCGCACGCGCCATGTGACGCCATGTTGTTGTTTATCAGCGTATCGACTTTTTTAGGTCATGTATGATGTAACATTTCAGTTAACACCCTTATATCTTGATGCGAACAGGTCATTAATAATCTCGTTACCTTTTGTGGTGTGCGCTAATATTGTTTTCTCCAAGCAGATGTTGAGTCATGTGCTGTTCCAACGTCCCTTGTTTCATTTATTTATTTACAATTATCCAATCTGCTTGGGTATATTATTGATAGAATAAAATTTTGAAAATCAACCGAAGGCCACTATTATTTCTGATATCGTGTAATACAATAGTTTTTTTTTGTGTGTGTGTGTAATACAATAGTACACCGCTGCGTTTTGCCGTATTAGATGGAATGTGACTGTCGTTTATACTTGTTTCGTGTAGTTGTCGCCTTTACTTGCCTTTCAGTTCTGTCATCCAGTTTCATAAACCAATGGCTCAAACTACGGCCATACATGCAGCAAACACATATGTCTAACGAGGAGAGATCGGGCCACATATTTCCGCCATACCATGACCATAAGGACACTTCTTCATCAATTATCTTTGACAGCCTCACAAGCCTTTTAGGAAACTGCTTCGCCTAACAAAACGGTGACCTTACAGTACACGGAGCCTAACACTGGACGAAGAGTACAAGAAAAAGAACAGACAAATGTAACATCACTAAAGCTCTGACACACACCAAAAACCATGTAGTCAGATCGTGTTATTTTCACTCTGTGGGTTGTTTTTTATTCGGAGTCCCGTAGTTTCTGTTCCCCTCACGTATCAGTTGTTTGGATATGCCATGGGGGAAAGATTGATAAGTGTAACCCCGGTGCTAAATGTGGGTGCCACCAGCCCCTGTCAAACCGCCACAGACTGGCCTCTGGCATGGCATGTTATCTCACCACCTGCTCATTCACTCTCAAGAACCGCAACAAAACGCTTGTAATGTCAAGGGTTGTCTCGCTTGAATATGCGGCCTTGCTTGGTCCTTTCGCCTGAAGGGGTCGCAGATTTAACCATCTCCATGCATAAAGTTCGTTAACGGTATCTTTTTAACTGCTTTGAAGCCCTTGTGGACTAATTATCAACCTTTTCTAGTCAGGCTGCTTGAAGAAACCGCTTCCCGCCAATTCCGTTTCAAACGATTGTGACGGAAACAAAAATTTGGTCAGAAAATTTTCCGACCAATAAGAAGTCCCGCCCCGGGCACTCAAAATCTCGATTGGTCTAAAGACGACAACTGACGCCCCTGACGACAACTACTCCTTTCTAGGAAGTTATTCCGGCCCAGTATCTAGTACACATGTACTGACGTGTTAGCATTGGGCAAACAGTGGGCACAAAAATAACTTGGAGGCATCCCTGGTGGAAGCAAGCTGTTAAGTTTCAAAAAGTCGTAAATACGCGTGGAAAAAAGACGCTGTCAAAATCCGCCCTGTTTTTGATATCATTGCCTCATAAAGAATATTGGATTACCCTCGGCTGGCCTTTTGGATTTGTACCCGTCTGTGTTTGGAGGTGTGATATTGTTGACTAACACGCTGTCTGGCATCATGACATCCACGCAAGCTAAGGAGGAAGACGAAGTAGCCGACGTCCAGGCCAAATCTCTAAGTTCCAGGACAGGAACTCTCGGTCTCCAGAAGTGAGTACACATCCTGTACGATATTAGATTTTCCAATATTCGCACGTAGCATCTGCAGTCATGTTCTCCTTCAGGCATATTTTTTTTAGCACGGCCTTCGTTTGCCTCTTGAGGCTTGTGGCATCTGTGGCTTCTGTTATCACTCGTGTGGAATTCAGATTAGAAAAGTCAGTGACGCACACGCACGAGTCTTGTCGTTCCTGATGGGAACTGGCGAGAGAATCTACCATATTTTGTTTACCCCTTCCTTCAACTGCCACATGTCTGAACCCCGTGTCTGACAAGCAAGATAACAGTATGGGGAAACTGTTGTATCAAGTTAAAGGCATCCAATTCGACTTCAGAGCAGCAAAACTGGAAATATTCTGAATAAGGCAATCTTTATGATATTGACACATACTACTTCACGTTAGCACATTTCAATCAGTATTTCATACTTTGGATATTTAAAACTGCAGAAACAAGCCCCAAGATGAGTCCTTTATTTTTGGGGCGGTACCCTAAAGATCAGCCAAGGGCCCTTCCAGTAACAATTTTCTGTCAGAATTTTGGTAATATTTGCTCCATGAGGGTCAATATACATTGGGACAGTGTGGTTTCAACTCACCATGTAGATAAATGACTAGAATATTAACTT